GTGGGCTCAGGGAGTCAGACGATCCCTTTGCGAGTCCTGAGTAGACCCACTGGCTGTCCGAGGGGAGGTTGTGGAGGGGGAGGTGAGCACCTGCGTTCTTTATGTGGGTGTCTCAGACAGACTGATGCACCACTGGCCACGGGGTCACCAGGCCTGCCACCATCAGACCCACCGGAGGGCTTCTTTCATTTGCTGAATCTGTGGGTGCCTCTCCAGTGTGACTTCACTGTAACTAAGGTGTTTTTCTGGTAAAAGGAGCCTTGTCTTCTTGTGCGTGGGAAGTACACTGGGACTGCCTCCCTGGACTGCTTCTGGACACGGACCAGTCACTGACAAACACCCTCTGGCTCACCCATCCTCTGCTTGCAGCACGACTTCCAGGATGTAGCCAGATCCCCCGACAGGGAGCCCCCCACTGCTGTTTTGAGTGCAGCCCCTGAGCCAACAGACAGTTTGCAGACCAAAGAGGCAGGGGAGGAATTGCAGAGGCTGAATTCAGAGAGGCCAGCAATGCACCTCCAGCCTCCAGATTCCTGACCTGCAGCCTTCTGTGGAACTATTGGGCTATTAAGGATGGACAGATGCGTGTCTCCTGTGTGTGGTCCATTGAATCCTCACCTAGCAAACACCTGGTGCTGGGTGAGGATGGGTGCCTGGGCCCCAGATGGAGAAACAGAGTGTGGCCTGCCCCCCAAATCCTGTGGTACTCCTCCTCGTTCTTGTCCCTCCCAGGACTGCCATCTGGACTTCAGTCGATGTTGATGGGTTTTGTCTATTTTTTTAACTCCTATAAGTGGAATCGCACAGAATGTTCTTTTTTGTCTTACGTTTCCCTACACGTGACATTTATGAGATTCATCCTGACAGTTGTGTGTGGTTGTGGCTCTCTGGGTCTCACGCCTGGTGGGATCCCATGTGCGGACAGATCACGACTTCTGTTCGGGGGCAATAACGAGCAGTGCTGCTGTGACTGTCGCTGTCCTTGTCCCTTGGGGACAAGCAAGTGCATTTCTGTCAGGCGTGGCATCGTCAGAACTTAAATGTTCTTAGAAAAAAAGAAAAGAGTGCGCCTGGGTGGCTCAGTCGGTTAAGCGACTGCCTTCGGCTCAGGTCATGATCCTGGAGTCCCGGGATCGAGTCCCGCATCGGGCTCCCTGCTCGGCAGGGAGTCTGCTTAAAAAAAAAAAAAAAAAAAAAAAACAAAGATAGAGACCTTGGGCGCGTGGGTGGCTCAGTTGGTTAAGCAACTGCCTTCGGCTCAGGTCATGATCCCGGGGTCCTGGGATGGAGTCCCGCATTGGGCTCCCTGCTCGGCAGGGAGTCTGCTTCTCCCTCTGACCCTCCCCCCTCTCATGCTCTCTCTCTCTTAAATAAATAAAATCATGGGGCGCCTGGGTGGCTCAGTCGGTTAAGTGACTGCCTGCGGCTCAGGTCATGATCCTGGAGTCCCAGGATCGAGTCCCGCATCGGGCTCCCTTCTCAGCGAGGAGCCTGCTTCTCCCTCTGACCCTCCCCCCTCTCATGTACTCTCTCTCATTCTCTCTCTCTCAAATAAATAAATAAATCTTAAAAAAAAAGAAAAGAAAAAATATGTAAGGGATGAATGTGTTAATTAACTCGATAGGAGGAACGCTTTCACAGGTGTACAAGTGTATCAAATCATCACGATGTACACTTCAAATATCTTACAATTTGACTTGTCAATTATACTTCAGTAAAGTTAAAAGAAAGAAGAATAAGCGAATGAATCAATAAATGGAATACGTGGAATGCTCCCTCCGTGTAGCTGGCTTCTCTTTGGCCTTGCTGGCCAGGCGTTTGCCTGATGCCTTGACGAGGCCAAGTTCCTCACCGTCAGCATGCTGCTTTTCTGCAGCATCTGGAAGGCCTTCTTGTCCGTGTACCGCAGCACCCGAGGAAGGCCACTGTGGCTGTGGAGATCTTCTCCATCCTGGCCCCAGCTGCAGGGCTGCTGGATGGCATCCTCATTTCCAAGTGCTGCATCATCCTGCTGAAACCCAAGCAGAATGTTCTAGCCTGGTTAAGGCATGGATGCTGGGCTCACTGGGAAAGACATGGTGAGGAACCCCGGAGAAAGCATCTCCCAGATCCAGGCCACAGAGCCTCATGAGCCTCACGAGTCAGTCCTCACTGAAGATGCTGGTGCCACAGGATTTGGACTCATTGTTTTTCTGTGGCTGGAAAGCAACTTAAATGATCAAGAGATGAAGTACATCGAGCAAAATATTAATGACTGTTAGATCAAGATGATGGGCATATGGATGGTCATTGACTATGCTCTTTGTAGGCACTGTTGAAGATCCTCACAAATAAAAGGGTTTAGGGGGCACCCAGCTGACTCAGTTGGAAGAGCATGAGACTCTTGATCTCAGGGACATGAGTTCACACCCCATGTTGTGTGTAGAGATTACTTAAAGAAATAAACTTAAATAAATAACCCCCCAAAAATAAAAATGAAATGTTTGGAAAAGGCCCACGATGCAATAATAATAATAACAACAATATTAACGATAACAAGTGTTGGTGAGGAAGTTGAAGGCCTCATCCACTGTTGGTGGGAATGTAAAATGGAAAACAGTTTGGCAGTTCTCCAGAAGATTAAAAATAGAATGACCATATGACCTGGTAATTCCACTCTTAGATAGATACACAAGGACAATGAAATGTTATGTCCACGCAAGAACTTGTGCACAAATGTTAAGAGCAGCCAAAAAGTGGAAACAACTCAAATGTCCTTCAGCTGATGAGTGGACAGAATATGCCATATCCATGCAATGGAATGTGATTTGGCAATACAGAAATAAGCTACTGAAACTACGACATGGACGAACCTTGAAATATTATGCTGAGTGCAGGAAGCCTGTTACAAAAGACCATATATTATATGCCTTCATTTATATGCAATGTCCCAAATAGGCAAATGCATAGAGACAGTCAGTTAGTGGTTGCCTAGGGTGGGGGAGGATGAATTGGTAGGTGAAGGCTAAGAAGTGCAGGACTTTTTGGGGGGAAGAAATATTCTAATATTGATTTATATGTGAATATGCTAAAAATGACTGAATTCTACACTGTAAAGGGGCAAATTTCATGGTATGTGAATGATACTTTGATAAAGCTGTTAGCAAAAAACAAAAAAGGGAATTAATATGTTACAAAGCGTAGCCCTTTGTTATATCCTCCTTTAAAAAAAGCTTTTTTTTTTTTTTTAATATTTATTTATTGGGGCACCTGGGTGGCTCAGCCAGCTAAGCATTTGCCTTCAGCTCAGGTTATGATCTCAGGGTTCTGGGATCAAGCCTCACATCCAGCTCCCTGCTCACTGGGGAGCCTTTCTCCCTCTCCTCCCCACTCATGCTCTCTGTCACTCTCTCTGTCTCTCTCTCTCAAACAAATTTTTAAAGATTTAATTTATTTATCTGAGAGAGAGAGAGGAAGAGAGTGAGAGAGTGCGAGTAGGGGTAGGGGCAGAGGGAGAGGGAAAGAGAAACTCAAGCAGACTCCCCGCTGAGCCTTTAGCTCCAGTCAGACTCCATCTCCGACCTGAGCAAGAGTTGGTCGCCTAACAGACTGAGCCACTCAGGCGTCTCTCAAACTACTTAAAACCGTGGATATAATTTTAAGTTGTAATACTGAATATTCAATAGTGCAAAAGTTATTTTTTCTAAAATTTTGATAGTGGAATTTTAGTTATGTTAGAAAATGGTCCTTATCTTTACATTACATATTGCAGTTAAAATAGGACACCAAAACACTGTTTGGGATTTGCTCTCAAATGATACAAAATGCCAGAGTGGCTGGGGAGTGGGTTAGGGACCAGCCCTGGGTTTGGGGTGCCTGGTTAAGCGTGGCACTCGTGGTTTCAGCTCAGATCCTGATCTCAGGGTTTTGGGGTAGACCCCCCCAGGTGGGCTCCCGCTCTGTGCAGAGTTGCTTGGGATTCTCTCTCTCCCTCTCCATTTGCCCTTCCCCTCTCTAAAATAAGTGAGTCTTTAAAACAAAAAGAGGTTTTGAAAATTCCTTAAAGAACCACCACGAAGAGCACAGAGAACATGGATTGGTGAATCCGCCCTGTGCAGAAAATGGCCCGGGACGTGGAAAGTGCGTGGAAAACGTCTTCCCCGAGATGGGCCAGGGCTCAGATCGGCGTGGAAGAAATGCGCACCCCAACCTCACACACGCCGGCCAGGGGAGCCGAGTGCAGGTCTGTCGCCAAGAAAGGTGACCCAAGGCCCTGTCTGCACCTCCCTTTGCAAACCTAGGTTTCGCCCTCAGAAGTCTGACGACGCCAGTTGTCCGGGCAGGAAAGTTTCTCCACATTTTAGGAGCTGGGATTTTCACCCCCAGGATTTCTCATTTTCCGTTATTGTCAAGGAAACATAAATGTGGTGAAAATCTCGGTTATGACAACATCGTGTTTAGCCAGGACCAAACATTCCGATTTATGGAAGAGGTATCTGATGATTTATGAGGGATGCCGGCCTTCATTACCGACCCGATGAACAGAAACACCGGGGCACGGACATAACATTTGAGTACGTGGCTTTGTCTTACATAAAAAGGACATCAAGGGGCGCCTGGGTGGCTCAGTGGTTAAGCGTCTGCCTTCGGCTCAGGTCATGATCCCAGGGTCCTGGGATCGAGCCCCGCATCGGGCTCCCTGCTCGGCGGGAAGCCTGCTTCTCCCTCTCCCACTCCCCCTGCTTGTGTTCCCTCTCTCGCTGTGTCTCTGTCAAATAAATAAATAAAATCTTGGGGCACCTGGGTGGCTCAGTCGGTTAAGCGACTGCCTTCGGCTCAGGTCATGATCCTGGAGTCCCTGGATCGAGTCCCGCATCGGGCTCCCTGCTCGGCGGGAGGCCTGCTTCTCCCTCTCCCACTCCCCCTGTTTGTGTTCCCTCTCTCGCTGTGTCTCTCTCTGTCAGATAAAATCTTAAAAAAAAAATAGAACATCAAGACACTTATTTTTACTTCGTCCCCAGGAAGGTGTATTTGTGAAGCCAGCGTCTTTGACAGCTGGAGCTGGAGGCCGGCGGCCCCCAGACACTCCCAACCCCGCGCTGCCAGAGAGCCTTGTGGGAGCTGTAGTCCGAGCCTCAGCGCAGGACCAGGCCGGGAATGGGCTAGAGTGGACTGCAACTCCCAGGAGGCCACGCTCCTGGGTGACACCTACTTTCCGGCACCGCCCACTATTTTCCTTCCTCGGGAGGACCCGCCCCGCGGAGCCTCTGGGAAATGTAGTACGAGGCCATAGGCGTCTAGGCCCGCCACCTGGAGGACAAAGCTAGTGTAACTTTAATTCCCTATAACTTTTAGAATACTTCTCAGGCTTCTTGGCGTCTCCGGAGCCGCCGATTGCGCGCTTCTGGGGTGCGGGAACCTGACCAACGGTAACTTCGGGGAATTACAGTGAGAGAAATCTGTCTCACTGCCCCCTAGGCCCGGCCGGGGAGCCTAGGCTCCCAGGCACGCAAGGCCCCGTTCCCAGCCCGGCCCGGTCGTGCATGCCCATTGGGCGGACAGCCCCGCCTCCGCGCCTTCTGGGAAACGTAGTCTGACTCTCCGGGCTCTCGGCGGTGCCGACTGCTGGACTGGGGCTGGGCTCCGGCCGCAGGACTACAACTCCCGGAATGCCCATGCGGCGGGGCCCGTCGCTCCGGGGTCCCCGGCCGCGCTCTCCCATTGGTCAGGGGCGGCCGCGCGGGGTTTTCGGGTCGTGGTAGTTCCGCTTCGTCCTCGGCGCCGCCGGCCGCGCGGCTCTGGTTTTTCTGCTGTGTGGGGCGCCCCGGGCGGTCTCTCCGGAGCCCCGAGCCGGTGGGCGCTGGGGGGAGCGGCTGGGGCTGCAGGCGTCTCCTTGAGGACCTCGGAGTCGGAAGAGGCCGTGGCCGCGGGGCCCCTGGCAGCCCGCCCCCCGGGGAGGGGCCGCGCGCCCTCCCTTCCCGGCTGGGTCTGGACCCTGCTCCCGGGCTCGGTGGGAGCCGGTGCCGCGGCCCGTCGTTGTGGCCCCGCGAGGCGGAGGACCTCCGTAATCCTGCAGTCCTTGCATCTGCGAAGTCCCGTAACCAGGAGGGACCGGAACAAAACCCCCCAGCTCCCAGATGGCCTCAGCTACCGCACATTCCCGTCAGCCGGAAGGGAACGTGTCTCAGTTCGCTTTTACGCAGCCGCCATAGCCATGATTCCAAGACGTGTGACCTCTGAGCTCAGGCTCCCTTTGAACCAGGGGCGCCTGGGTGGCTCCGTCGGTTAAGCGCCTGCCTTCGGTCAGGTCACGGTCCCAGCGTCTTGGGATCGAGCCCCGCATCGGGCTCCTTGCTTGGCAGAGAGCCTGCTTCTCCCTCTCCCTGCTCTGCCTGCCGCTACCCCTGCTTGCGCTTTCTCTCTGACAAGAAATAAATAAAATCTTAAAAACCACCCCAGGAGGTGGGAACTGCGTCCTAGGGCTGTTCCGAGGACTAAGAAAATTTCCATCAGGTAAAGTGCTTACTTCAAGGCAGCGCCCAGCGGGGAAAGGGAACCCTTGGCAAATGTTAACATTATTATCAGCAAATACTAACGTTATCATTTTTCTGTACCTGGTGGTGTAAAAAAGGAAGGGGAATCCTAAAGGGAACTGTTCGTTTGGTCTTGAAGATAACAAGTTGATCAAGAATGGGTGGGAACATCTTAGTGCAAGGGCGGCTCACCTCTGAAATGGCTGATGCAGACCCCTGATGCCCCCCAGGAAGGCCCAGGTGTATCCCTCAGAAGCCAGAACGCTTTCAGGACACCTCCCTGTACACATGGGTGCAATCTTCCCACTCCCACATAGCCCCTCCCTGCTCTTCTGGGAACTTTGCAGGGGTGAGGGTCCTGGCTCAGCAGACATGTGGGTGACATTTCAGGGGCAGGTAACCTTCGATGACGTAGCAGTGGACTTCACCCAGGAGGAGTGGGGCCTGCTGGGCCCTGCCCGCGGACCCTGTACCGTGATGTGATGCTGGAGACCTTAAGACACCTGGTCCCTGTGGGTGAGGCTCTTCCCCATGTCAACTTCGATTTGCCTGGGGTCTTGGCAGAGTGGGTTTGATTTAGCTGGGAGTGTGGAGTCACGGGGGGATTTCTCCTCATCAAACCTCACAGCCTGAGACGACGGCCTGGTTCATTTTGTAGAGCATGTGACTCTTGAGCTTGGGGTTGTGAGTTCAAGCCCCATGTTGGACATAGAGTTTACTTAAAAACAATTTTAAAAAATGTTGTCACAAAATGTATATGAAAAAAACCAAAACCTCACAGCTTGATCATTCATTTGCACAGGACCTTGGAACCTCAAGCCAGATATTGTTGCCCACCTAGAACTTGGAGTAGAGCAACGGATGATGGACAGAGGACTCTCCCAAGATTCCTGCCTAGGTGAGATGGGGAAAAGATCTTTACAGTCAGTGTTTGTTTATATGTTCCTTCATATCTTCCTTTTCTAGTGCTTTTCATTACCTTTGGCATTTCCATAACTACGTCTGGGATCTTTTTCCTATTGCTCAGAGTTCTTTTAGAGTGACAAAATGCCCTCATTTTGTGTTTGCCTGAAAATGCCTTTATTTCATCTTCATTTTGGAAAGATAACGTAAACAGAATTTTAGGTTGTCAGGTTTTTTTTGTTGTTATTGTTGTTTTTTCTTTTTCTCAGCACTTTAAAGACATCATGCCATTGTCTTCTGGACTCCAAGGTTTCTGTTGAGAAGTCAACCTTCATCTTACTATTGTTACTTTGAAGACAATGGGTATTTTTTATTTTTTTGCCAACAATACTTTTAAAGTGCACAAAATTTAAATATTCAATTGAAAATTTTTGATAAATGTATGCACATATGTAATTCTTACCGAAATAAAGTTGACATTTTCATTATTTCACAAAGTTCCTTTGTTACCTCTTTCCATTTAAGAAAGGCAACCACTGTTGAGATTTTTTTTTCCACCATAGGTTATTTTTGCCTTTTCTAGAACTTCATATAAAGAGAATCATACATTCTTTCTTTTTTTTTTAAAAGATTTTATTTATTTATTTGACAGAGAGAGAGAGATCACAAGTAGGCAGACAGGCAGGCAGAGGGAGAGGGAGAAGCAGGCTCCCCGCTGAGCACAGAGCCCGACATGGGGCTCGATCCCAGGACCCTAGGATCACGACCTGAGCCGAAGGCAGCTGCTCAACCAACTGAGCCACCCAGGTGCCCCCATATATTATTTCTTTTGTATAAGGTTTACCCATCCATGATATTATATGCATTATTATTTCATTCCTATTTACTCTTTACTATTGAGGGACATTTTACTTTTTGATGATTTACAATTTATCCATTCTCTTGATAATGAACATTTGGATTGTTTCTAGTTTGGGGCTATTATGAATAATGCTGCTATGGATATTCTTGTGCAATGTTTTTAGTGGACTTGTGTTTTTATTTCTCTTGAGTAAATATCTAGGAGTGGACTTGTTGAGTGATAGATTAACAGTTTTGATTGGTAGTGCCTTAGATCAGTTGGGGAAGATTTTATGTCTTAACATGTTGAGTCTTCTAACTTTGGGATCATGGTATATTTATTTAGGTAATTCTCTCAAGCAGTATTTTGCAGTTTTTAAGCATATGGGTCATGCACATCTTTTACTAATTTTATTCCTAGAAATTTGGCATTTTTGATGCTATTGTAAATCTTATTTTTAATTTCATTTTCTGATTGTTGCTAGTGTATATAATTTTTTCTTTGACATTCTATCCTGTGTGAGCTTGCTAAAATCACTTAATTGTTTTAGTAATTAATTTTCAATGTCTTTAGATATTTTATACAATCATGTCATCTTCAAATAAAGATTGCTTTATTTTTTCCTTTTCAGACTTTATGCTTTTTCGTTTTTCATATTATTATACCAGCTAGGACCTCTAGTACTTTTTTTAAAAAATTGATGTGAAATTAACATACAGTGAGACATGCTGCTTCTAAGAGTACAGCCCAAAAAAGTTTTGCAAATGTATATTTGTGTGACTCATACTCCAATCCACACAGAATATTTCCATCCCCATACATTTCCTTATGTATTTTTCCACTTAGGACTCCCCCAGCGTGGCAACCATTCTTCTGATATCTGTCACCATAGATACCCAGTACAGTATTAAATAAACGTGATAAGAATGAACATCCTTGCCTTGCTCCTGATATTAGGGGATAGCATTCAGTATTTCACCATTAAATATGATCTGTTGCCCTTTAACAAATTGAGAAAGTTCTATTCCTGGATTGCTGAGTTTGTTTTTTTGTTTTGTTTTGTTTTGTTTTATTATGAATGGGTGTTGTCAAATGCTCTATATGCATCTATTGACATGATTGAGGTTTTTTTCCTCCGTTCCATTGATTTCTGCTTTCTATTATTTCCTTCCATTGTTTTGGCTTAATTTGCTTTTCTTTTCTCTGGCTTTTTGGGGTAGAAGCTTAGTTTATTAATTTTAATGCTTTCTTCCTTTCTAATGTTTGCATTTATAGCTATGTATTTTCCTTTGAGTCTTTTTTCAACTGCATCCTGCACATTTTCACATGTTGTATTTTCATTATTGTTCAGTTCATTATTGTTTTTGTTTTCCAAATGCCTTGAACGGAATCGTAATGAAAATACAACATATGAAAGTGATTTTTTCTTTGATTTGTGAAGGACATTGTTCAGTTTCCAAATATGAGGGGATTTCTGTTATTGATGTCTAGATTATTTCCATTGTGGTTGAAGAAAATATTCTGTATGAGTTCAGTCCTTTTAAATTTATTTATCGATTGATTTATTTTTTTAAAGATTTTATTTATTTATTTGACAGAGAGATAGTGTAAGTAGGCAGAGAGGCAGGCAGAGGGAGAGGGAGAAGCAGGCTCCCCGCCGAGCCGGGAGCCCGATGCGGGACTCGATCCCAGGACCCTGGGATCATGACCTGCGCTGAAGGCAGCCACTTAACCAACTGAGCCACCCAGGCGCCCTCCTTTTAAATTTATTGAGAAATGTTTTTATGACACAGCATATGGTCTATTTTGATGAATGTATATTCTGCTACTGTTGGGTGCAGTGTTTGATAAAGACCTGTCATCACTTTAAAGTCTTGGCTTCTTTTTACTTCTTTCTGTCATTCTGGCCTGGATGAGGCTCCCACTTGTGTTTCAGTTCTCTCTGAAAGGCAGGCGCAATTTATCAACTGTTCTTTCTTTCTTTCTTTTTAAAATATTTTATTTATTTTTCAGCGAGAGAGCAAGAGAGAAAGAGAGAGCACAAGCAGGGAGAGCAGCAGGCAGAGGGAGAAGCAGGCTCCCCGCTGAGCAGGAAGCCTGATGTGGGACTCGATCCCAGGACCCTGGGATCATGACTTGAGCCGAAGGCAGACACTTAACCAACTGAGCCACCCAGGCATCCCTATCAACTGTTTTTTAGAGAGCAGAGAGGGTTTACAGGGAACAAATGAATGAAATCAGACAGAACTGATGGTTTAGTTCTTAAATCTCTGGGTATGGTGCTTTAAACCCACACTGCCTGTGAACTTTCACCTTTTTTGGGGTGTCTTTAATATGTACCCAGTAGAAAGTTACATTTTAAAAGTGGGAATTTAGTCTCATGTGTATCTTTCCCCCAGAGACTGTCATTTAGAATGGTTTTACTAGCTTTATTTATAACATTGAAGTATGTAATGAAGTGCTAAAAAGTTTGATATCGGATGTCAAAATCACAAGATTTTCTCTACAGATTGTTGCCCTTGAACACTGAATACCTAGAATGGTACCTTTGATCAGTCTGGAAAAAAAATCTCTGCTCTTATCTTTTCAAATGTTTCCTCTGCTTCGATCTCTCTTGTAACTCCAGCTACACATTAGTCCTTTTGTCAGGTGTTCTGTTTTTAAATTCTTTTCTCTCCCTTTGTATCATCATAAAATTTCCACTTACTTCTCTTTGAATTCACAGATTCTTTCTTCTTCTGTGTCCAGTCTGCTGTTAAGCCTAGTCATGGTTTGCTTCACATACTGTATTTTTATTTAATTCCAGAATGGAATTTTCAATTGGTTCTTTTTTCAAATTTTCCGTGAAATTCTGTGTTATGTTTATAATAGGTTGGGCTTTTTCCCCCAGTCAGTGTAAGTGAAATTTTATTGAGGCCCCAGGGCCCCGGGGCTCGGGCACGAGGCCACCCTGTGGGGAAAGGAAGAACTGATGGAGGGGCTTTATTGACCTTCATCTGAAGGTGCAGATGGTTGGTGTGGCCGCACGTCTGGTGGGAGCACAATGTTGTATTTCTGGGCGAGCTGGCAGAGGGAGGGCTGGGATGTCACCTCCAGGCCAAGCGCCAAGTGCAGGGTGCTCTTCCTGGATACTGTAGTCTGAGAGAGTGCAGCCATCCTCCAGCTGTTTGGCCCTCAAAACAGACACTGCTGGTCAAGTGGGATGCCCTCATTGTCTTGGCTTTGACATTCTCAATGGTGTCACTGGGCTCGACCTTGAGGGTAATGTTCTTGCTTGTTAGGGTCTCCATGAAGAACGGCTTCTCTGTGTTTGCCGCTCGGCCACCAAGTTGAAGAGAAAGAGCTATAATAGTTATTTTTAAATCTTTTCCTTCTACTTCTAATGTTTGGTATATCTGCTTCTATTGACTTTTCTTTCTTGATTATGAGTCACATTTTCCTGATTCTTTACCTGTCTAGTCAATTTTTACATACTGGATTCTGCAGACGATGCATTGGAGAGACTATGGATTCTTGTCTTCTACCAAGAGTATGAGTTCTTTTTCTGGTAGGCAGTTAAATTACTACAAATCACCCTAATCCTGATGAGGCTTGGTTTTAGGATTTATTAAGGTAATGTTACTTTGGTTTTGCTTTAGTCCTTGGATGTAGTCCTTATCCTTAGGGTATGGTGTTTCCTCCTAAGGTACAACTTTCTAGAGTCTCACCTGAGTGCCTCGGGTGCTTACTGGGTCACAGCTAAGTCTCCCCACACTGGGTAACTTCTGAAACCTCTGCTCAGCCCTGTAGCAGCTGTTCTGTCAGGTCTTAGCCTTCTATGCATTTGCAGTTGGAGTCCAGTCAAGGTCTCAAGGAGAAACCCTCTGCAGGTTTCCAGATCCCTCTTTGCTCTGCGTGACCTTGCAAAGCCCTCCTCAAATTCAATTCCATAGCCTCTTCCCATGTCAGAAACATAAGACCTACCCCCCTGATGGGAGTCAGGCTGCTAGGGAGCATGATCAGGTACCCTCTCTGTCCACCTCGCAGACATGTCCCAAGCATCCCTGGTGCTCCAGGTGCATCCCCTCTGCCTGGAGTGCTGATCACTCTTTTTGTTTATCCATCTGCCTGTGGAGTCCTTTTGTTCTCTGTGCATTTTGGGCACTGGAGACACAGTGTGAACAGGATGGGCAAGGTTCCTACCACTGTGGAGCCTAAAGCCTCCAGTCTATGGTGTCTGGGGAGGTGCAGACAATAAAGAACAAAAAGAACAAGATGATGTTGACTAATGCGAAACAGTGGTATGAGGGAAATGAAACAGGACAATGAGGTGGAAAGTGATAAGGAACCCATGCAGGCTGGAAGGTTTGGAAGGGTCTCTCCAAGGAGGTGGCCTGAGACTCAAGAGCTGAATGATGAAAAGGGAAGAGGTTGCTGACACCTAAGACTCTGGAGACCAAAGGAAGGTCCTCAAGCAGAGAGGAACTATGTGTTAATGGTGGAAATGGTCGTGCTCAAGGAGAACTAAAGAAACTGAGAATGAGAAGGATCGAGGATAACTGAGGTAGTCTGACCCTGCTTCTGGGTGCTTTGTAAGACTAGATCTAAATTATTATTATTATTATTTTTTTAAATGTCTTAAATAATCTTATTTCTTTTTTTTTTTCTCTTTTTCTTTCAAAGATTTTATTTATTTATTCATGAGAGACAGAGAGAGAGGCAGAGGGAGAAGCAGGCTCCCAAGGAGCAGGGAGCCCGATGTGGGACTCAATCCCAGGACCCCGGGATCACGACCTGAGCCGAAGGCAGACGCTTAACCATCTGAGCCAGCCAGGTGCCCCTAGATCTAAATTATTTTTAATTTCCTTCTAGAATGGAAGAAGAAAGCTAAAAGCCAGGAGTTGTCACCAACAGAGGTCTTTTCTGGGAAAGAGTTATCCAGCAGCATGAACCTGACAAGATCCGCAGTGGATGATGGCTGATGTTCTACCACAGCAGACGACTGGGAATCTGGGGATGAGTCAGAGAAGCAGAAGATGCACGGTGGCAGTTCGGGGCCAATGGAACATAAACAAGGGCAAGTAGTGACCCGGGATGGGGTTGGGGAAATGCTGAAGGTGTGGGAAAATGCAGCTTCAATTCAGAGTTTGTTTCTTCACGGAGATTTCTTGTCAAAGAATATTTCCATCAAATTGACTCAATTCAAAGCTTACATCATAATTTCATTTTAAAAAATCATCAGGAAATCTTGGTAGGGAAGAAACCTTGTAAAGGCAGTCCATGTGGAAAAGCCTTGGGAAAACTGTCTAAGTTGATTGAGCATGGTAAATATACCAACCAGAGGGTATACCTTTCTACACACGAGATAATTAATGTAGGAGAGAAATTCTACGGATGTAAAGAAATTGGAGATTTTTTTACCTATAGCTCACCCCTCTCTCAGGTCATGAGAACTCATACTAAGGAGAAACCCTATGCATGTAACAAATGTGGGAAAACCTTTAAGAAACTTTCATCTCTTTCTTAACATCTGAGAAATCACGATAGAGAGAAAGCCTATGAATGTAATGAATGTGGGAAGTCTTTCTGGCAGAGCCTTCACCTCATTTTACAGCAGAGAACTCACACTGGTGAGAAACCTTATGAATGTAATGAATGTGGAAAGTCTTTTAGCCAAAATTCTCATCTTAATGTACACCGGAGAATTCATACTGGAGAGAAACCCTATAAATGTGATGAATGTGGAAAATCCTTCAATGGAAGGTCCAATCTTAATGTGCGTAAGAGAACACATACTGGAGAAAAACCCTATAAATGTAACGAATGTGGGAAAGCCTTTAGTGACCGCTCCTCCTACATGTAACACGAAAGGACGCACACTGGAGAGAAACCATACAGATGTGATGAATGTGGAAAAGCCTTTGGTCACATCTCTCACCTTACAGTTCACAAGAGCATCCATACTGTTGAGAAGCAATATAAATGTAACAAATGTGGGAAAACATTCAGTTTTCATTTATCCTTCACTCAACATAAGAGAACGCACACTAGAGAGAAACTGTATAAATGTCATCAATGTGGGAAAGCTTTCAATCAAGGTTCTAATTTTATTGGGCACCATAGAACTCATACCAGAGAGAAAAAACTACATATTTTATTTTAATATATAAAAACTGTACACACACATTTAAATTTTGTGGTTTTTGATGCATCCCCAGAGAAGGGCTGAACCTGAGTGGCATTTGATACCTAGGAAAAATTTTTTAATTAGTGAGATCAAAACTCTCTTCAGTAATATTAATTAATGTGATTACCCAATGTGGGAAGGGCTATTGCTCAGAAATCAAAATAGGTTGATAATATTTGACTGAATGATTGATGTACCTACCATTCCAAAGAGCTAGAGTGTGATTATTTGCTTCATTGTTCCCCCAATGCTAGAAAATTGGGCTGCTTCTAATTTGTTTCAGGAATTCATTATAAACTATAATTATGAACGCTGTGTAGAAACATGGAAAATGCCTATAATACAGTTGACCCTTGAACAACACAGTTTTGAACTGTGCAGGTCTACTTATATGTGGATTTTTTTCAATAAATACAGTAGAGTATTGTAACTTTTTCTTCCTTATGATTTTTTTTCTTCTAGCTTACTTTATTATAAGAATACGGTATATAATATATAAGATATGTGTTAATCAACTGACTTTGTATTATCGGTAAGATTGCTAGTCAATAGGAGGCTATTAGTCAAGTTTTTGGAGAGTCAGTTATATGCGGATTTTCAGCTGTACAGGGGTCAGCACTCCCAACCCCCACGTTGTTCAAGAGTCAACTGTAGTGAAATGTGAACTGTTGTGACTGCGTTACCCTATATGTGCATTTGGAGAAGGGCTTAGAAGAAAACAGAAATGAACGTAGCTGATCAATAAGTCTTTGGATATTGTGTGGCTTTCCTTTTCTTTTTATGTTCAAAACTGCTACAATTTTATGCGGCACCTGCGTGGCTCGGTTGAGCATCCTGATTCTTGGTTTCGGCTCAGGTTATGAGATCGAGCCCTGTGTCGGGCCCCACAAGTTTCTCTCCCTCTCCCTCTGCCCCCTCCCCCGCTCACACGTTCTCTCTCTTTCTTTCTCAAATAAATAAATCTTTTTTTTTTTTTTAACTGCTACAATTTTACAGTAAATGAAAAGACAAAGAGGAGAGGGGCACTAGGGTGACACAAAGTATCCGATTCTTGGTTTTGGCTCGGGTTGTGATCTCAGGGTTGTGAGACTGAGTCCTGGGACGGGCTCTATGCTGATACGCAACTGTTCCAGAACATGTAGAAAGCTGAATATTTACCTCTCTTGTCATACCAGTTTGTCAAAACTCAAAGAACAATTAAAGGCCAGTATCTCTCAGGACTATTAATGGAAAATTTCCAGATCAGATCCTGCCAGGAAAGATGGTATAGCTAGCACATTTGAATTCAGGAACATCCACTCCAGGAATCAGGGTACTGAGTATTAGGAAATATATAACCATAATACCCCATTTTAATCAGTCAATGGGGAAACCTAGTCATCTCAATGATTAATGAGAAAGAAGTTGATAAAATTTAATATTTAAAGATTATTTAAGGAAAAAAAAGCCCTGGTACCAGGAAAAAAATATTTTTTAAAAAAAGATTTTATTTATTTATTTGAGAGAGAGAGAGAGAATGAGAGACAGACAGCATGAGAGGAAGGAGGGTCAGAGGGAGAAGCAGGCTCCCCGCGGAGCAGGGAGCCCGATGCGGGACTCGATCCCATGACCCTGGGATCATGACCTGAGCCAAAGGCAGACGCCTAACCAACTGAGCCACCCAGGTGCCCCTTAAGATTTATTTATTTGTCAGAGAGAATGAGCACAAGCAGGGGGAGTGGCAGGCAGAGGCAGAAGCAGGCTCCCCGCCAAACAAGGAGCCCGATGCCGGACTCGATCCCAGGACCCTGGGATCATGACCTGAGCCAAAGGCAGACGCCTAACCAACTGAGCCACCCAGGTGCCCCTTAAGATTTATTTATTTGTCAGAGAGAATGAGCACAAGCAGGGGGAGCGGCAGGCAGAGGCAGAAGCAGGCTCCCCGCCAAACAAGGAGCCCGATGCAGGACTCGATCCCAGGACCCTGGGATCAGGACCTGAGCCGAAGGCAGACGCTTAACGGCTGAGCCACCCAGGCGCCCCAGGAAAAAAATAAAGTATTTTTATCATATGATATCAGGCTTAAATGGTGACAGTAGCACTGAGGTTGGCAAACTAGGGCCCACAGGCCAGATCAGGCCCAAGTGTTTTTGTAAACAGTTTTATTGGAACATGGCCACGCCCAGTCATTTCCATACTGTCTACGGCTGCTTTAACACACTAGGGTGGACTTGAGTAGTTGTGAAAGAGATTGCATAGCCTGAGAAGGTAAAATATTTATTAGAAAAGCCTTGCCAATCCCAGATGCAGAGCCATCTCCATTCCAGTCAGGGAGGACCAAGACAAAAGGTTCCTCACTAGTCCTTTGTATGAACAGGAAATTCACAAAAGGAATACAAATGGACAACAAATACATTAAAAAGTACATGAGTTCATCAGTCATCAAAGAGATGCAAATTAAAATGATGAAAATAAATATTTGAGGGCGCCTGGGTGGCTCAGTTGGTTGAGCGTCTGCCTTCGGCTCAGGTCATGATCCCAGGGTCCTGGGATCGAGCCCAGCGTCAGGCTCCCTGCTCAGCGGGGAGTCTGCTTCTCCCTCTCCCACTCCCCCCGCTTGTGTTCCTGCTCTCGCTCTCTCTCTGTCAAATAAATAAATAAAATCTTAAAAAAAAGTAAATATTTGAGCAGCTGTTATGAGGTAGGCAGTACCCCAATCATGCAGTCTACATTACCTCATTTAATACAGAGATCGTGGTGAAGCAAGTTCTTCTGTTATTTCCATTTTATAGATGCAGAAAACACAGTCTAGAGAGGCTAACTGGCAGGTAAAGATTGACAATGATTTAAAAAGACTATGTTGGAGGGGTGCCTGGGTGGCTCAGTCGTTGGGCGTCTGCCTTCGGCTCAGGTAATGATCTCAGGGTCCTGGGATTAAATCCCACATTAGCGGGGAGTCTGCTTCTCCCTCTCCTCCCCACTCCTGCTCTCTCTCACTATCTCTTTCTCTCTCAAATAAATAAATAAAATCTTTAAAAAATATTATGAAATGGGGGTGCCTGCCTGGCTCAATCAGTAGAGCATGGGACTCTTGATCTTGGGGTCATGGGTTCAAGCCCCATGTTGGGGGTAGAGTTTACTTAAGAAAAAAAAAAAAGAAAACTAAGAAAGTGTAGGAAATGGATTCTATTATTCAGCACCCATGGATAGGTATACCCTCTTTGTAGGGTAGTTAAGTTGGAAGTGTCCAATGCAAAGTACGTTCATGAGTTGATTCAGCAATCTCACCTTTGCAATTTATCCATGGAAATAACTGCTCAGCTATGAAAATGTGGGCAAGACCTTTGTTATAGCATGGTTTATAACAGCAAAATACTGAATGCTCCCCAATAGGAGAACGTTTACGTTATAATGGTGCAAAAATTAAATGGCATATTATTGGGAGACAAAATTAGGTTCATAACAACACGGATGATCCCCATTCTATGAAATTATAAGTCTTTCCCAGGGGAGCTCTGTGGAGAAATGTCACCCACATGTTAATAATTTGTTCCCTGTTGATGGTGGGATTGTAAGCAATATTTGTTCTTTCCCTTTAACTTCAAGTGATTTTGTTTAAAATAAATGTATATAATTGGAATTTAAAAGAACATTATTTTCATCCAGGAATAATATTAAAATCATGAAATCTAAAATTTTCATTATCCCATGTTACTGGGTGGGAAATAGAACCAGATCATTCATGTGTGTGTAGCCAGAGATATTATCAGTGTGGTTATACTGGGAGGTTGACCTAATACACAAGAGCCAGCATGTGTGTATATGAGAGATACAGAGAGAAAGATTAAAAGCTTAAAAAATGAGTCCATAGGGAAACACACTTGCTTCTTTTTTTTTTTTTTAAAGATTTATTTATTTATTTGAGAGAGCGAGAATGAGAGAGAGAGAGAGTACATGAGAGGGGGGAGGGTTAGAGGGAGAAGCAGACCCCCCGCCGAGCCGGGAGCCCAATGCGGGACTTGATCCAGGGACTCCAGGATCATGACCTGAGCCGAAGGCAGTCGCTTAGCCAACTGAGCCACCCAGGCGCCCCCACACTTGCTTCTTAAAAGCCAGCTGTATGGGCCTCAGCAGCTGTGTCAGAAAACAAATGCCTCATCTGGGGACTCTGGTGGAGCAAGACTGGCTCTCCAAGCCAGAGATGTGAGCATGATGGGTTGATGTGTCCCTCATTTGTGAGAAGTAAAAATGTCTTCATCTATAGATGTTCAGGACGTAAACACAACGGACAAAACCAGGATGCAGCTAATGTGAATTTAAAAAAAAAAAGGAAAAAGTATAGCCTTTAAAGAACCCTCCAAATCTACAACGGAATTTCACCAACTCTGAATAAAATTTCCATTCCAGTAAGATACTGATCCTCGATCCCTGTATATGATGTTTATGAATATCTACCTGGATATTCCTCTATGATACGCTACTGAGGAGAGGTGGAAGCAAGGAAAACTCGGTGAGTTCCAAAGAGAGGAAAGCCTTTTCAGGTGAGCCCAGTGCCATGCTGGAGACAAATACCTGGACTGGGTGCAGGTGGGCATCAAAGTGGCTGGTCACTGATGGAGCAACTGCACAAAGGCTCTGGCTTTTGATGACAGTGGGCTGGTGGAACAGAGCCCCAGATTCGGGGCGGGAAAAACCCTGACTGCAAGAATAATTTCCTGAGAATTACTTTTCTTGAGAATCCCCTTAAGCCTAGGGGTGTCTGGGTGGCTCAGTCGGTTGAGCATCGGACTCTTGATTTTGGCTCAGGTCGTGATCTCACAATTGTGAGGTCAAGTCCCATGTTGGGCTTCGTGCTCGGTGGGAGTCTACTTGAGAGTCTCTCCTCCCTCCGCCCCTCCCCCCATTCCTCTCTGTCTCTAAAATAAATAAAATCTGTAAGAAAAAAATCCCCTTAGCCTAGAATTCTGCTGAGTACCCAGAACAGTGAAATGCTCTTCTAGGTACACCACTAAATCATTTTTGGCAAACACCTATTAAGACACAGAACATTCCCATTACCCCAGAAAGTTCTTTCTTGTCCCTTTCTTGTCCCCAGACACTTCTTCCCTATATATCCCAAAGCAGTGATTTCTGTCAGCATGGATTATTTTTGCCAATTCTAGAATTTACTATGGTGAGGTTGTAGTCATATATTTTGTGCATTTTTGTGTCTCCTGCTTTCCCTCAGCAAAAAATTTTTGAGACTTATCTATGTCATTACATAGATCAGTAATTCTTTTTTGTTGCTGTGTAGTATTTACTCCATTGTATAAATATAGCACAATTTATCCATTCTCAGATTGATGGAAACCTGGGATGTTCCCAGTTTTTGCTTACTATGAGTAAAGGTGCTATGAACATACTTATCAAGGTTGTTTTGTTTTTATGGGCATATGCTTTCATTTCTCTTGTGGAAACTCCTAGAGGTGACATGGCTGAGTGGATGTATGCTCAGCTTTTTAAGACACTGTCAGTTCTACAAAGTGGTTGTAATACTTTCTGCAAGTACTGGCCATGTATTAGAATTCCTGCTGCTCCACATCCTCACCAAATTTTGGCATTGCTTTTTCATTTTGGCCATTCTAGTGAATGAGCATTTATTTTTATTTTTTTTAAAGATTTTATTTATTTATTTGACAGAGAAAGACACAGCGAGAGAGGGAACACAAGCAGGGGGAGTGGGAGAGGGAGAAGCAGGCTCCCCGCCAAGCAGGGAGCCCGATGCGGGACTCGATCCCGGGACTCCAGGATCATGACCTGAGCTGAAGGCAGTCACTTAACCAACTGAGCCACCCAGGCGCCCTGAGCATTTTTTTAAAGATTTATTTACTTTAGAGAGAGCACACCAGCGGTGGGTGGGGGAGGAAGGGGAGCAGAGCGAGAGAGAGAGAGAAGCAGATTCCCCACGGAGTGCAGAGGCAGTCGCAGGGCTCAATCCCACAACCCTGAGATCATGACCTGAGCCGAAACCAAGAGTCACTCAACTGACTGAGCCACCCAGGTGCCCCTCTAGTGAGTGTTTAGTGATACCTCATTCTGGTGTGATGACTAATGGTAGTTAATACTTTTTCATGTGCTTATTGGCTGCTTGGCATTGTTTATTCAAGCCTCTCGCCCATTTTTTGTTAGGTTGTTTGTCTTTATTATTGAGTTGTAGGAGTTGTGTATATATTCTGGATACAAGTCCTTTGTTAAATGTATATGCTGCAAATATTTTTTTTTTTAAGGTTTTTTTATTTATTCATTCCAGACACAGAGATACAGAGAGAGAGACAGAACATGAGTAGGGGGAGAAGCAGAGGGAGGGGGAGAAGCAGGCCCCCCGCCGAGCAGGGAGCCCGATGCGGGGCTCCATCCCAGGACCCTGGGATCATGACCTGAGCCGAAGGCAGACGCTTAACCATCTGAGCCACCCAGGTGCCCCTGCAAATATTTTATAAACAAAATTTTAGCAAATTGAATCCAATAATAATAAAATAATAGAAATTTAAAAAGTCATGACCAAGTGGGATTATCTAAAAAAATGCAGGGTCGGTTTAACCAAAATCAATAAATGTATTTCACTGTATTAACAAGCTAAAAAAAAAAATATATGATTATCTCAATACATGCAGAAAAAAATTGACAAAATCCAACAGTCATTCCTGATTTAAAAAACAAACAAACAAACAACTCTCACCAAACTTGGAATAGAAGGCAATGTCCTCAACCTGACAAAGGACATCTACACCAACAGGTAATATCATACCGGTAAAAAACTGAATGCTTACCCCCGAAGATTAGAACAAGGTGAGGATGTCTGATTGCACCACTTCTAATCAACATTGTAATGGAGGTTCTGGCCAAGGCAATTAGCAAGAAAATGGAATAAAAGGAATCTTAGATTGGGAAGGACATTATTTTACTTTTATTTTTTAAGAATTATTCATTTGAGGGACGCCTGAGTGGCTCAGTCCTTAAGCGTCCGGCTTCGGCTCTAGTCATGATCCCAGGGTCCTGGGATCAAGCTCCGCATCGGGCCCCTGCTTGGCAGGAGGCCTGCTTCTCCCTCTCCACTCCCCCTGCTTGTGTTCCTTCTCTCACTGTGTCTCTCTCTGTCAAATAAATAAAATCTTAAAAAAAAAAAAAAAAAAGAATTATTCATCTGAGAGTGAGAGAGAACAATTTGGGGGAGAGGGAAAATCTCAAGCCAACCCCCCACTGAGCACGAAGCCCAATGGGGAGCTCCATCCCAGGACCCCGAGATCACGACCTGAGCGGAAATCAAGAGCCAGAAGCTCAACTGACGGAGCCATCCAGTTGTCCTGGAAAAGACATTTAAAAAAAATCCATCTTTGCTTCAAAAGATACCATAAACAAAGTAAAAGGTAAGTCAAAACTTGGAAAGGATAACATTCCTAATAAAGGATTAATGTTAAATTTCTGTGAAGAACTTCTATAAGCCAGGAAGAAAAAGACAACCTGAGAGAAAAACGCATGAAGTGAGATAATTCAAGGAGAGAACACACAAATGGCTAACACTGTGAAAAGATGCTGAATCTCACCAATAAGAGAAGAGCAAACATCTCAGAATGAAATACCATTTTCTACCCATACTTTTTAATTTAAAAAGCTGACACTACCAAGCATTGGTGAGCATGTGGAGCAAGTGGAACTCCTAACCGTTGCTAAGAGGTGTACGAAAAGGTGCAGTCCTGGGGCACCTGGGTGGCTCAGTCGTTAAGCGTCTGCCTTTGGCTCAAGTCATGATCCCAGCGTCCTGGGATTGAGCCCCGGGTCGGGCTTCCTGCTCAGTGGGAGCCTGCTTCTCCCTCTCCCACTCCCCCTGGTTGTGTTCCCTCTCTCGCTGTGTCTCTCTCTGTCAAATAAATAAATAAATAAAATCTTTAAAAAAAGAAAAGAAAAGGTGCAATCCTTTTGGAAACATCTACCAACATTGGACATAAATATTCATTTGCTATGGCCCATCAGGACCACTCTGAGGGCTTACCCCAGAGAGCCCCTGCGTCTGTCCATAAGGAGACCTGTATATGAATTTTCATAGCAACATCATTTATAGGAGCTGGAAGCCTTTTGCTTGCAATGCTTTTCCCCAGATACCTGCATGGCTGGCTTTCTCCCTGCCTTTAGGTCTTTGCTTGCATATTACCTTCTTAGTGGGCCCTTCCCTGAGCCACCAACTTAAAATCACAACCACCTCCTCCCCGATTCTTTGCCCCCCTCCTTACTTGGCCTTTAGCAATTAACCCCATCCGATGTGTTATATATTTTACTTATTTCTCTCTCTCTTTTTTTTAAGGTTTTATTTATTTGTCAGAGAGAGAGAGCACAAGCAGAGGGAGCAGCAGGCAGAGCAGGCAGAGGGAGAAGCAGGCTCCCTGCCAAGCAAGGATCCCCTGCAGGGCTCGATTCCAGGACCCTGGAATCATGACCTGAGCTGAAGGCAGACGCTTAACCGACTGAGCCACCCAGGCGTCCCTTTACTTACTTTTCTATTGTGCACTCTCCTCCAGAATGTGAGCTCCTTGAGGTTAGTGGTTTTGTGATTTTTACTCACTACTTTATTCCCAGCTCCTGCATTATAGGTTCTTATTTTTTTTAAGGATTTGTTTACTTATTTGAGAGAGAGACAGAGACACAGAGAGCACATGAGAGAGTTGGGGGGAGGGACAGACAGAATCTCCAGCAGACACCCTGCTGAGCCCGGAGCCTGATGCGGGGGCTCAGTCTCAGGACCCTGAAATCATGACCTGAACTGAAACTAAGAGTTGGATGCTTAACTGACTGAGCCACCCAGGCACCCTGCATAGTAGGTTCTTTAATGAATATTTACTGAAGGAACCTAAGTGGCCATCAAAAGTAGACAGTATAAACAAGTTCTGGTATATTCATTGAACAGGAAACTAGACAGCGGTGAAAATAAATAAAGCTTCACATATCAAAAAGGATAAATCTTGCAATGATAAATACATGGAGCAAAAATGCAAGTTGCAGATAAAATCTTATATTGATACATTTATATGAATGCAATGCAAAGTAAATGTTTTGTATTGCTCTGGGATACATATATGTTGTAAAACTTCCAAAAACACAGAGCAATCCATATTTCATTCAGGATAGTGGCTGTCTCTGAAAGGCAGTTTCTATGGAAGAGGGGAACATGGGGGTTTCGGCTACATGGATAATTTTTTTTTTCAGCTTAGGAGTGTTTTCATAGGGTTTCACTGAATTCCTCACAACTTTATTATATTTTACATGTTTTTCTTAAAAGAAAAATGAGCAGGGCGCCTGGGTGGCTCAGTTGGTTAAGCGACTGCCTTCGGCTCAGGTCATGATCCTGGAGTCTCAGGATCGAGTCCCACATCGGGCTCCCTGCTCAGCAGGGGGTCTGCTTCTCCTTCTGACCCTCTTCCCTCTCGTGCTCTCTCTCATTCTCTCTCTCAAATAAATAAATAAAATCTTTAAAAAAAAAAGAAAAGAAAAGAAAAGAAAAATGAGCATACCTCTACCATTAAATCCCTGGGACGAGAAAAGCTGGAGGCTGAGTGCTGAGCTGGTGACAAAGGCAGCAAGGAAGAGCTGTGCAAGGGGAAGCTTCTGCATGGCCACTGACAGCAGAGAGGCATGCTGACTTCCACGTGGAGGACTCACAATCCCACAGAATGTTGAACTTAATGACTCCTGGGCTCCTAGCTGGTGAAGATGAGTTAATCCTAGGATCTGAGAGCACAGATAACTTCAAGTCTAACTTATTTGTACTAGTTATTTTACTATTGGTGACCCTACGGTTATACTCTCATGAAAGGTCTTATTTGTTCCAAGAATGTGCCCTGGACTCCCCTTCCTTTACCCTTCATTCTCATCATCTGGCTGTGAAGAAATGGAAGCAGCCGGAGCCCTTCAGGTGGTATGGGGTGACCACGCTTTAGGCACCTCTCAGAGGAAAGGCATGCCCCAGGAGAACCTATATTCTCCCACTGCTCTGATCTTGTCCCATTCAGAAAACCGTGGCAGCTCAGAAATAGCTCAGAACCCCACAGTAGGGGCATCCAGGATGGCTGCGCAGCCCAGCCTTTGCGCCCTCACAGCATGGAGAGAACAGAGTGCTAGGCAGCACGCTGGGGTGAATGGAGTGGGGGAGGGCTTGCGTCAGGGAAGCAGAATCCTCACACCCCTGCAACCCATTCTCCACCCAAAAAGGCCTTTGGTGAATAGCCGTTCCTTGAGAAGCCTGCTTTGCTCTGGGTATTACAGGCTGGACTGCAGCTCACGAAGCAAAACCTCGAACCTACTACCTGTTGTCTCTACCTTTAAAATACCAACGTCCGCAACTGGACGCTGATCACTCTGATCTAAGCTGCCATCATTTCCCACCTGATTACTGCACTGGTTTCAGGGATCATCCTGCTCCTTCCCTCACCCTCTTAGTCTGTTCTCCACACAGAAACAGAAGTGACCTTTTGGTGAGGTCAGAGCTCATCGGTGCTCTGCTCCCAACCATGAGATGGCTTCCCATGTCACTCAAAGCCAGAGTCAGGGCCATCACGGTGCCCCTAAGGCTGTCTGCAGTCAGGCCCCTCATTGCCCCTCCCTGATCACCGTGCTGTTCCCCCAACTGAGCAGCCTAAACTGGGGTGGACAAATGCACAGGCAAGATGAATCAGGAACAAGGAGGAAAAGGTGGGGGGCCAGGGAAGCTCGGGGTGAGGGTCACTTCAAACTCAGGCGGGAGGGAGGTTCCAACAGGGCCCCGAAGAGCTGTCAGTGGGCTCGAGGATTCCAGGTTCAGCCGGCGCTGTAGGCTGGGGGTGGTGGCCCAGGAATCCTCCCTGTGCTGGGTGAGGAGCCCTTTCGTCATCCTGGTCCATGCCCTTGAATAGTGGTTTGGGTAACAGCCGCCAGGCAGAGATTGCGTGAACCATGTTCCCTGCTCTGGTCTTCAGCGCCTCGCAACAAGGAAACATCACAACACAGGTCCGTGGTAATTCAGGCTCCCATTGAGCTTCGCCATCTAGAAGGAGATCTGGGAACGATCCCTCATGTTCTAAACACAAGGGCTTCGTGAGCGAGGAGAAGCTTCAAACCAGCCGCCTCATCTGGAAAGGGAGCTCAGAACAGCCCCTTCCTCACCGTACTGTAAATGTTAAGTGAAAGGACCCCTTGAAAGCGTTCAGACCTGCGTACGGGACGCCGAAGACTATCGGATTTCGTCAAGGTCGCCTTGCTAAGGGCAGCTACCGCGAGCCCCCATTTCACAGACGGGCAAACTGAGGCTCACGGGGCCGCGACCTACCCAGGCCTTCCGGAGCTCGGCAGCGGCGGCAGGGAGGGTGGTCCAGGCCCGGGACAGCCGCGTCCGGTTCGCCGGGGGCTAGAACACTAGTCGCCCAGGTGAGCGCCTGACGCAGCGGAGGCGGGACTCGAGGCGGGCTGCTCCCTGTACCTGCCGTGACGACGCTTCCGGGCCAACCGGAAGCGTACCGCCCGGAACTACAACTCCCAGGAGCCCGCGCGGCGCGTCCTGGTCGACGCCGGGGGAGCGGCCGCCATTGTCCGCCGCCGAGGTGAGGCGGTCGCCGAGGCGGTGGGCTTGCTGCTGCCGCCGACGCCGAGGGCTGGGCGGGTCGGGAGAACGAGCGGGAAGACGCGTCGCCTGCCATCGGGGCCAGCGCGGCGCCAGGGCGGGCCCCGCACCTGCCCCTTCCGCGCTGGCTTCGCGCCCCGTGTCCCTTGGTTCTCGCACCCTCCCGCCTCCCGCCTCCCGCCTCCGGGCTCGCGGCCGCGCTGGGCCGGCTGGGCGGGCCCGGGGACACCCCGCACGTCGGGCCTGGCGCCGGGGCGCGGCCGCTGGCCCGGCACGCCTTTGTCTCCCCCGCCGCGCGCCGGGATCCCAGGGGCACCGCCGGGCCGAACCTTGGAGCGGAACAAAAGCCGGACGCCCCGGCCGAGCGATCCCGAGTTTGCGAAGTCGCTTGCCGAGAGCGGCGGGGACCGGCTCGCAGGGGTGGGGGGCCGGGAGCCGCGGGCCAGGTAAGGCGGGGGCCCGGCATCCCACCCGCCCCGGGGGTGGTGGAGGAGGGCGGGCGGGAGGCCCGGCAGCGGGTGATGAGGACGCCTCTGAGGCCCTTACGGGAACGAACACCTTTCTTCCCCAGCGGGTGTTCCTCGTCCCCGCGGTTCAGCCGAGGCGCTGGAGGACGACGTCGAACGCGGGAGGGGACCGGGCCTCGCTTCCTTTCAGCTTGCGGGGACCGCGGACTTTAAGTTGCAAACGGCGTGCAGAGTAGTTTGCCTGCTTTGAGTTTTGGCACAGACCCCCGTGTTCCCGGGGCCCAGTAGGCGTCCTGGTGCTTTAAACACCCCCCCCGGCATCCGCAGAGCTCTGCCCGTTGGCCTGGGAACCCTCAGAGAGGTCTCGGGACTTGCGCAAAGACTTGGAACCTGGGCCGTTGGTGGTCTGGGCTCCACACCAGAGACAGACAGGCTTGGGCCTGGTGGGTTTTGCAGGTTGATTCCTTGCTTCTCTCCCCTCCTTCCTTCTTGATGAAATTTGCGTGACATAAAATTAACCATTTTAGACTGCATGTCGGGGGTTTTTGTTGTGTATTTAGAGAGTTGTGGAATAAAAAACTATCCAATTCCGGGACATTTTCATCACCTTCCGAAAGAAACCCCTGCACCCATTAAGCGGTCAGTCCGCATTCCTCCCTCCCCGCCAGCTCTAGGCAGCCACTGATTTTTTGGGTGGTGCAGGTAGATTTTACAGTAATTTTTGTAAATCACCGAAAAGTTACCTGGAAGTTGGCACTGGCTGTCTCTTGGGAGCCATTGACAAATATCCACCCTCTCATCCTGGATTGTGCTCTTTTTTTAGCTTATTCAACTCACTCTTCATTCTGTTGTTTTTGACATGTAAATTGTTTTTTGGTGTTTTTTTTTTTTTAAGATTTTATTTGTCAGAGAGAGAGAGCACATAAGCAGGGGAAACAGCAGGCAGGAGAAGCAGGCTCACCACTGAGCATGGAGCCCCACGTGGGGCTCAATCCCAGGACGCTGGGATCATGACCTGAGCCGAAGGCAGATGCTTAACTGACTGAGCCATCCTGGCATCCCTAAATTCTGTTTTCTTATAATGCTCCCCAGAAGTCTTCTGTTGCTTCCGTGGATGGGCTGTCTTTGTTCCCTCGATCTTCTCCAGAGAAAGGACCACTTTGTGTTTTCCATCTGTCATTAGGTTGGTACTGCAATTGCATTCCGTGAATCACCCGAATCCCGTGCACCTGGGCAGGCACCTGGTCAGTTGATCTTGTGAGATGGCAACCATCAACCCGTGGGCCTCGTGGGGTGAGTCCAAATTCTCTTTCTTCTGGGCCGCCTCAGCAGCAACCTGCTGCAGCCAGGGGTCAAAGCTGGGCAGGGGCAGAGGGTTTTGGGGGATTGGAGGGGGTCTCTTGGTCTTGGTATAGAATTAAAACTGAGTGACATTTAAAAAGAAAAAATGGGCACATGGGTGGCTCAGTCGTTAAGCGTCTGCCTTCGGCTCGGGTCATGATCCCAGGGTCCTGAGGTCAGGCCCCGCATTGGGCTCCGTGCTCAGCGGAGAGCCTGCTTCTCCCTCTCCCACTCCCCCTGCTTGTGTTCCCTCTCTCGCTGTGTCAAATAAATAAATAAAATCTTAAAAAAAAAAAAAAGATTAAAAAGAAAAACAACTTGTTTGTTGGTGAAAAGGAAAACTTCTTGGTGTAAAACACCATGTAATTTTGTATATTTTATAGTCCTAAGATGTCTCTTAGTTCTAAGAGATTTTCTAGTAATTTGTGGGATTTCTTAGACAGTCATACATCCAGTCAGAATTTCTCTATCACTGCTATATTTTACCTTTATTTTTGTTTTTCATTCTTACAGCATTGGCATGTAGTTTAAGAACAGTGCTAAATAGTGCGATGTCAGTGGTGTTCTATCTTTAAATTAGGCTTCATATATCTGTCAGTAAAGACATCGAGGGAGTGTCTTACTACTTAGATTTTTTTAAAAAATTAGGTAACGTTAAACATTTTATCAGATATCTCATTAGCCGTTTAAGGGATTCTGTTCTTAATTGTTCTGTGGCTACATCACATCAAATTTTCTAATAGTGACTTACCTATGCATTTCTGGTATAAATCTCGCTTATGATGTTGGATTTTGTCACATGCCCTTGGGCTCTGTTGATGGAACTTTGTTACACCCATTAGTGAGGCAGATCTCCTTTTCCATTTTGTTGCCTTTAGTCACTCGGATTGTTGTCACAGTGCCTTTCCTTTACTTGTCCTAACCTGATCTGGTGCAGGTGTCCTTACAGACCAGTCCTGGGGAATGGCGGCTGTTGACCCATGGGCCTCCTGGGGTGAGTCAAGAGCCTGTGTCCCCGTTGGCCATGTTGGCTGCTTGTCCTGGCTTCTCCCAGAACTGACCTGCCCTGGCCAGGAATCCGAGCTGGGGGATTTAGGGCTTGGGAGAGTGGGGGATTCTGGTCCAGATCTGTCTCTGTGCAGAGCTGGAACAGGAGAGGATCAGAACATGGCACTGGGAGATAAAGTGATGGTGACGCTTCCAGGACAGGGTGCGTGAGAGTAAATGTGTGGCCATTTGTGGCCCAGGCCCAGAAAGGACGTGAATGGCACCACTGCTCAAAGACAGTGCCTCAGAGCAAAGGGGGGCAGTGCAGGGTTCGTGTTTAGGCACATCCCTTATCTTCTCTGAGCCCCAGTTCCTTCATCTTCAAAATGAGGAGATGAGTCTTTTCCTTTGCCCAGCAGAGAGGGCCAGGAACTGGCTCTCCCTGAGCCCTCCCCCCAGGATAAAGGACTTACGTGGGCATACTTCTGGCAGGGAGAGCTGCCTCCGTGACTTTGTTTTCCTCCCCAGCTCTATGTCCTCAGGACTCCACCTGGCATGTGGAAGAGAACCCCAAGGAGGAGAGGAGGGCCCCTGGGCTTCCAACAGCCCAGATCCAGGTGAGGTGGGCTTCTACTTTTTCCTGAAGGGCTGTCCTGTTCCCTAAGGTGTCCAGGTTGTCCCCCGCCATCCTAGTCTATATGTTCCTCACTTTATAACAGCTAGAGTTTGGGTGGAGAAGGAATTGGCCAGAAGTTTATTGCTTTCTGAGCATTCAGGAAGAATTTAAGCAGTTTTCTGTAACTTAGAGCCACATTATCAACCAGCCTATTCACATTCCTAAGCCCTAGCTGTGCTGTGTGTTGTTTTGGGGGATCAGGGGCAACCCTTTTAGCTGGCAGCCCCCCTTTCCTCCTCACACCTTACCTCATGTATTCAGTGCCTGATTCAGTTTGATGCTGTCCTGTGAGCTCTGTGCTTGCTGGGAGGGGAACATGGACGAGTTCAAGCCCTGGTTCTGAGGAATTCTCAGTCCCTTTTCCAAGATGGTTCACTCAGCTACCGAGACCTCATGGCCTGCTGGTGGTGTATATGTGGTTCAGGACATAAGCCTGAGATGCTTAGGGAGGCCCCAAACCTTGGAGGAGCCGAGCCCAACTAATGCCTCGGGAAGTGGGTCAGTCTGCACAGAGTCACTGGGGCACAGAGCAGCTGGAATCCTTCCGCTGTGGGGAGAGAGACTGCCTGGAGACATGACACACTTGCACCAAGAGGTGAGAGGGGTTCAGCAGCCCGGGAAGCAGAGGTCTGGCCTTTTACAGCGCCGCTGGTGTGTGTGGGGCGCGGGGGCACTGCATGACCAGCGTCTGGGTAAGGGCTGACCCCAATTAGAATCTAGGATGGAGAGGCTAGGATGAACGCTGCCAGGCCCTGAACGCCTGCTGCGGAGCCAGGGCTCCATCCTGGTGGTAATAAAGAGCCTTATAAGTGTTGGGAGCAGGAGGCACCAGTGTCTAAAATGTGGCTGGAAGGATGTCCCTGGCAGGAGTGTGGGGAGAAGGGGGCTGTGGGAAGCAGGCTTGCATTTCAGGTGTCAGTGTGACCAGGGCCTAGGAGAAGACCTTAGAGCTGTAAGAGAGTCAGAGCAGGGGAACTTTGTGACTATAAGGGCATAAGGATGGCTCCTGAGAGAAATAGGACAGCAGAGTTGTTGCGGGAAAGGTGGCAGGAAATAGGATAGCAGGGTAGATGATATTGGAAAGGTGTCCTCTCCCTTTTCTCCTGCCCAGCCTCTTCATTAGAACCAGCCACTTACAAACAAAGCTTTTTTGTAACAACTGTATTAAAATATTATTCAAATATCATAGGTTCACCCTTTTAAAATGTATAGTTCTGTGATTTTTCATATATTCACAGAATTGGACAACTATTACCAACCAATACCTACTTCTAGATCATTTTCATCACCCCAAAAAGAAATCCTGAGCCCATGAGTAGTCACTCCCTGTTCCCACCGCCCTCAACCCCTGGCAGCTACTAATTTACTTTGTCTATTCTGGACATTTCACATAAAGGGAATCATACAATATATGGCCTTTCGTGTCTGGTTTCTGTTTTTAAGGATCATTTATGTTGTAGTGCCTATCAACATTTTATTTCTTCTTGTGATTCAGAGGCAGCCATTTTTAACTTACTGTTTTTGGTTCCTTAGGGTTATCTCCATATTTCTAAGTGAGAGATTTTCATCCTGATTCATGAAATTTACATTTACCCTTTGACTCCCTGCTATGAAAGATGAAGAAAAATAGTTTAATTACTATATTTAAGTTTTTCTTTTCTAAGTTAAAATAACGGATTAAACAAATATGAGATACTGAGATATATAAATGTTAATAAAATTTCAACTTTATGCCTCCCCCAAATTAAAAAAAAAATGTAATGGAATCTCCCAGTTTCAAAGCTGACTGGCGAAGTGCATCGCAAGCACGCTGCTCCCACGTGGCAGGACTGCTGTCCTAGGAAGGCAGCCGGGCCCGAACCACGGGATGCAGAGTGGTGGTGGTTTGGCATCAGAGCTTGGGTGACTGTGGTGTTCACTGCTGCTATGATATATAGTCCTTTTTAGATTCTGTAACGGAATCAGCAGTGAGGCTAGGCTGAAAGATGGGCCCCGAGTCAGTCGCCTGGGAACAGAAGTTAGCTGTAATAAAATGCTGTGAAGAAGCCTTAATAACCGCTGGGCTGCACTCTGCTGTTAATTTATGTGAGGGTTTCTGAGAATTACTAGGGTTAATGCTGAGAAAATAAAATGGAGAATTAAAATGACAACACCCTCCAATGTCTGAAGAGTTGTGATTTCTGAGTACATGCTCCTCGCCCCCTCCCCACACTCACTTCGGATTTTTCCCTGTGGAAAACTCAAGACTTGAATCATACGAGTTTTATATTAAGCGAGGTCTTCAGGAACACTAACAAGAGCTCCGTATGTCCCTCTATTGTTCCCTCCAAATTAAATACTGAAATAAAGCATTCACCTGGTGAAAACGTCAAGTGCTGTCATCCCTTGTTATCTGAATAGTCCATTTTGGGGTTCATGTTGGATAGTGAAGTTTCAACTAGTGGGAGCCCAGATCCAATTATTTTGAAGAATAGGGAAAATAATAATATCCCATCTAAAAAAAACTCCAGCCAGCTTCCTCAAATGTGGAAACTCTCAAACCCCTGTATAACAATCCACCAATGCTTCCTGCATGATAAACATGCACATAAACAACAGTAATACTCTGCACTCATCTGTCGTTGTTTTGAGGATGTGCACATAGTTGTTCTCCTTCCCTGCAAAGAACTTGCACTAAAATACTAATGAAATTGTGAAGATGCCAAAGAAGTACATCTGAATGTCCCCAGAGTCCATGAATGGGCCAACTGTCCATGATTTCAGATAATGCAGGAGCTGAAACCCATCTCAGCACCCTCTGCATCTTCCCTCAAACCTTCCCATGGCGGCTGGTTAGCAGATTCCATAAAGTGCTGTAGAGAGCCCCGGTAAGTGCTCATACATACGTACAAGGTGAAACGTGCAAGAATGATTGCAGGAAATTTGGGTGAGACATTTTCCAGTCATCCTAGCAGATGTTTGTAAAATTCAAGTTTAAGGGTTACCTGGGAATGGAACGGCTCACTTCTTCCTGTCCTAGCTTCTAGGGTCTCTCTTGTCCCCACAGCTGGTAATACTGGTCCCTGACTTCCCCCATCTCTTCTTTCTGTTTAACGTCCAGTCTTGGTTTTGCATTTTCTGCATCTTCAAGGCCTCCAATGAACTGTGGGCCCCAACATAGAGCTATTCAGCTGGGGGTGTTTTTTTTCTTCCTGTTTGGCAGTCCACGATTCCTTCCACTTTGATAACATCTACTGGAAATCTGGAAATACTTTTTTTTTTTTTTAAGATTTTATTTATTTATTTGACAGAACACAAGCAGGAGGATTGGGAGAGGGAGAAGCAGGCTTCCCGCTGAGCAGGGAGCCCCATGCGGGGCTCGATCCCAGGACCCTGGGATCATGACCTGAGCCAAAGGCAGACACTAACAACAGCCACCTGGGTGCCCCTAGAAATACTTATTTGTTTAAAGTTTTGTTTGGACAAATTCCATCATTACAGAAAAGTCTGAAAAGTAATCAAACATGGTCTCCATTACTCTGAACAGTTAATGTTTTGTCATATTTGCTTAGTTTTCCTTTTACACAGTGTCCAGTCATTCTTTTCCCATGCTTACCCAGAATGACTGCTTATGGTGTGTACACGGCTAATTTATTTTCATACTCATACATAGGTCATCTATTTCTATACGTATCACTTAGATAATAATATTCTATTTTTTTAAGATTTTTAAGTCATCTCTATACCCAAAGTGGGGCTCGAACTCACAACCCTGAGATCAGGAATCTCATGCTCTGTTGACTTGAGTCAGCCAGGCGCCCCTATTCTATTTTTTTTTAAAGCAGTGCTTTTCCTATCTAGCTTTTCTACGCCTTTCTTTGCTTATTCAAGGTCGACTTTAAGGTCCATCCATGTGATAAGTTCATTCCTTTTGCCCTCTGTTCATCCTTTTCATGGATGGGCTTAGAAGTTCCCTGCCCCCACCATTTTTGCTATGTGTGAACATTCTTGTAATTTCACTTTGTGCACACATATATATGTTAATGTAGACATACCCCTAGAAGCAGAATTATGCTTAGTTTTAGGGTGCACGTGTGTTTTCAATATGACCAGTGCTGCCATGTGGCCCTTTGAAGGTACAAAGCCTCTTGTCACCACTCTGGAATAGTGCCTGTTTCCCTGCATCTTTGCTGCCACTTGGCAGTGTCAGGTCTTCTAATTTTTGCTTATCTCAAGATGAAAAAGGTTTATTGTATTACTTTGCATTTCCTTGATTGCTAGTGAGATTGGGTATGTTTTCATATCATTACTAATCATCTGTATTTCTCTCTCATTCTTAGATTTGTGTACTCTCTGACCTGTTGATACGTAGGCATTCTGGATCCTGATTCTTTGCCTTACATGAATTGTCTTTTCCCAGTCTGTAGCTTGTCTTAATTTTGTGGTGTCTTATCAGTCAAATGTTTTCCAGGATATTTTTGTCAAACATATCTGGCTTTGTTTATGGCTAGTGTTTTTGTGCCTTGTTTTAAGAACTCTTGTATTAAAAAAAAAAAAAAAATCTGTCCTATTCCTTTATATTTGTTCTGTTTCTGAGGCCTTCTGTTTACGTGGTGGGCCTCCTGAAGCAAGTGCTGTGTCTTCATGTTCAATGAATTCTTGTTCTTTCAGAGCCCCTCTGGCATCGCCCTGTCCTGTTTTATACTGAAGCCTCCAGGCGGGGAAATGGAATTGCAGTTCACTGAAAGTTGGCTGTATCTGCTGCCTATATTCTGTTTTCCTTTTGTTCCCTGAATTTGGTCTCTCTGCCTGTGCTGCACATGTTCCTCATGTATCCAGGGCTCCTCCGGTCTGTGTTTGCGAGGAAAGAGCAGTAAGGCTGTCTTTGAGCATCCTGCTTTGCTGTGGCTGAACCAGTCTGGTTCCTGATTGGCCTCCCTTTGTATTTATGTGTCTGTGTGTCTGTGTATCTGCCTCCCAGCAAGTCTCATTCTAAGCTCCGTGGACCTGGTTGGGCCAGGACCATCAAGTTGGTTGTGCTTCCGGTTTCCCGGGTATGCAGTTGGCTGTCAGGCCACAGACCTCCCAACCCTGTGTCCTGTGGAAGAGATTTCAGCTCCAGGGTTGCTGGTCACCTGAGCAGCCTTAGAACCTCACACGTTCTTGTGTGTGAGAAGGGTCTGGGCAGTGTTGCCCAAGTGTAAGTGCAGGGCAGTTGGTGGTCATGCTGCCCCCAAGGTGGAGTGGCCATTTGGGAGGTGGGACCATTGGCAAAGCTCTCCTGAATACAGACTCCCCTGTTTTCAGCCTGGTTCTCACTCCTGCCTTCACTGTATCATGTAAGCTCAGGGCCCAGAGCCTCTCCTGGGAACCTCTTCCACTGTAGCCCCTTCGAACCTGTGGGGCTGGGATCTCCTCTGCTGTTTCCTTGGTCTGGCACACTTTCATCTGTTCCCTATCTTGCAACAATGTGTGGGACGCCACCTGCCAATGGCCTCTTCTGGGTATTTCCCATTCTTAGAAAACTTTGGGGGATTTTTAAGCCATAATGTGGAATCTGAACCTTGTGTTAGTTCCTGTTACCATTGTAACAAATCACTGCAAACTTAATGGCTTAGAACAATATACATTTACTCTTGTTCTAGAGCTCAGAAGTCTAAGATGGGTCTGTAGGCTCTTGGCAATCGGCCAGCTCTGTCTTCCAGCTGAAGCCTCTTCTTTGGCATATATTGTTATGTCTTCTCCCCCTCATAAGTCAATAAATGGTAAAATTTTTCGAAGACAAAAGAAAGGGGGGGGGGGGCTCTGTAGGGCTGTGTTCCCTTTGGAAGCTCCAGGGGAGAATCTGTTTCTTTGCTTTTTCCAGCTTCTGGAGGTTACCTGCATTTCTTGGCTCAAGGTCCCCACCTCCATCTTCAACGTGCATCACTCCAACCTCTGCTTCCAATGTCCCATCTCCTGCTTTGACTCAGACCCTCCTCCTCCACTTAAAGGGACCTTTGTGATTACACTGAGCCCACCGGGATGATACAAGATAATCTTCCCAAATCAACATCCTTAATGTAATCACATCTCTGCAAAGTCCCTTTGTCACATTAAGATAGCAGTCATAGGTTCTGGGGTTTAGGATGTGAACATCTCTCGGTGGGGGGCATTATTACAAACACCCGTGTTCAGTAACAACAGCCATCAGCTATCAGCTTTCTGCCTTTCTTTTCATCTATCCTGGCACTTTCTGAAAACTGGAATATCTTAAAGCAAATCTCAGCTATTCTGTCATTTTGCTTATAAACACGTGTATATTTCTAAAAGATACATAATTTTTAGAAAATAATATCTTTATCACTACCTTCATCACACCCAATAAAATTAACAGTAATTCCTTATTAGCTAATACCCAAGCAATGTTTGATTTTTTCCACTTGTCCCCAAAATACCTTTTATGGTTGGTTTGTTCAAATGAGGATCCAAAAAGACCCCATATTATGTGTGCTTCATATAGTGAAGAAATTAGGTCAATTGTCTTGTTGATTTGCCTGATTTTGCTCTCTTGATGTCATTGGGTGAGTTCCTCTTCCCTTTGTCTCCTGTAACTGATCATTGGACTGGAGGGCTGAGTAGATTCAGGTCCTATATTTTGGGCAAGATTACATCATTGGTGGTGCTGAGTCCTTCCTACTGTGTTGCATTAGTGGGCACAGGATGTCTGGTGATCCCATTTTCGGATGATGTGATGTATTAGGCCAACAATAGCTGCTTCTCCATTAGTCTTCATGTTATTTAGACACGTTCGTTCCCTGTCTGCCTTTCATGTGTGATTTAGCAGTTGTTGATGATCATTGCCAATGTCCACTATTTGATTAAAGGTTGCAGAATCACTTTCAGTCCTTCAGTGTCTATTAGATGTAGTTCTTCTATTCCTTTTTAAGTTTGTGCCCGGGGATTCCATTATGGTCTTGGAAGGGGTGGTTAGCCTGGTGGTTGACTTGTGGCTCAGTTCACCAGGTTGATAGCTGCCAGGATGTGGGTTTGAACCTTGTTAAGTATAGGTGAACTTGGAAGCCATCAAGTAGATGCCACCTTCTGGGGAAATTAGGTGGTATGAAGTGAGCACAGCAGGAGAATCCTGGTTAGAAAATATGGCCTCCCACCTGTTCCCCCTGGTGTGATGGCTCCGTGAAAGGACACTGAGCTTATGATTTCAGCTCATTTAGGCTTTGTGCACTTCTCTGTCCAAATGTTCATTTAAATTAAGAAGTTTATGTTACGTAAAACATAGAAGCATCACCCATCAAGGAAACTGAAGCCTAGGCAGGTCTGTAAAAGCAAACCAAGGTGTTGGCCTTGATGAGTCCAAGGTTAGGCATAGTTTCACTAAGAGAGGTTGGGATGAGCAGTTTTAAGTGCGTTTCAGAGTAATGGAGTCACTGCAGCAGAATCGGTTCTGTGTTTTAAGCCAAGCATTGTGTGAAGGTGGAAGGGGAGCAGTTGAGACTGACAGAGTACAAGTTGGCACACTGAAGACCCAGTCATGACAGCTGACCCTGATCAGAGAGAAGCTCAGTTTGCCTTGACTAGCAGGGGCAGAAAGGAAGGCCGTGGGAAAGGCAGTGATGTAGCAGGCTGTGAAGGCATGGGTAGAGGTTCACAGGACTCTCAGAGGGGAAATTCACTGACACAGAGGTAGACCAGAAAGCCAGTTTCCAAATGGAGGGGAGGACCTAGAAGCTGTCGGGGCCTGTGGGGATTCTAACATACTACCCATGTGACAGCTCACTCCCACTCCCACCACAAGGGAGGGCATACTCCACTCCACCCTGGACTTGCTAAGATAACTGAGTGCTTAAGAGCACTGTGAGAGGGGTGCCTGGGTGGCTCAGTCGGTAAGCATCCACCTTCAGCTCAGGTCATGATCCTGGGGTCCTGGGATCGAGTCCTGTGTCGGGCTCCCCACTCAGTGGGGAGTCTGCTTCTCCCTTTCCCCCTCCTGCCCCCCTTCGTGCTCCCTCACTTGCACGTGTGTGCGCGCGCTCTCTCAAATTAAACAAAATCTTCAAAAGAGAGAGCACTGTGAGGGATGCATTTGTTGCCAAAGTCAGACTTAGGTTATAATTCATCTTCCCCTCTAGTTTTCTAGTGAGCATTCCTGCTTCTATATTTCCTAAAAAGCTCAGTTGGAACATTTTAAAACTCAAGTGCTTTTTTTTTTAAGTTTTTTTTTTAATTTGACAGAGAGAGAACACAACCAGGGGGAGGGGTAGAGGAAGAGGGAGAAGCAGACTCCCTGCTGAGCGGGGAGCCTGACGTGGGGCTTGATGTGGGGCTGGATCCTAGGACCCTGGGATCATGACCAGAGCCGAAGGCAGAGGCTTAGCCCACTGAGCCACCCAGGCGCCCCAAAACTCAAGTGCTTTTTGACAACAACTGTAGCTGATTCTCTTTGGCCTGGGCTGCTCTCCTCAAACCTGTCTCACTCTGAGCTCCAGTCCTTGGGACAGAAAAGATCTGGAAATGGAAACCTCCCTATAGTGGCCAGGAAGACAGCCTGTGAATATTTAGATCATCCATCCAGGTCCTAGATGCACATGTTGAGCAGACTCCAACCCAGTGCTTGTCTGCTTTCTTCCTGGTCCTGGCCTTCAGTATGTTCATCTCCAGAGAAGAAGGCGGGCATTGCACTGGTGGGAATCCCATTCTTACTAGCCAGTATTACTAGAATTGGGTAAGAGCCTTAGGAGAGACCTGCTCATCTTCATTGTGGTTATTATGGGGCCACATACCTAATTCCCTAAGAGTACATCCCAAATACAGGGCCCTTGGGTTGCTCCCAGTGGGACCTGACCCAAATCAGTTAGAGTACTGAACGTATCCAGGACAGTTCCTCCATATCCTGTCTCTTCCCCAGTGCAGTCAGCCTCACTCTATCCCCAGAGAACATGAGAGGGTGTGGCAGCAGGCTGAAGAGGAACATCTGTGCTCTTTTAGGAACCAGTGACCTTCAAGGATGTGGCGGTGGACTTCACCCAAGAGGAGTGGGGGCAGCTGGACCCTGTTCAGAGGACCCTGTACCGCGATGTGATGCTGGAGACCTATGGGCATCTGCTCTCTGTGGGTAAGGCGGAGCTGCCTGAGTAAATGAAGCGATTTCCATTGCAATACTTTCTGCTACTCTGTGTTTAAAAGCTCACAGGCTGGGGGCGCCTGGGTGGCTCAGTCGTTAAGTGTCTGCCTTCGGCTCAGGTCATGATCCCAGGGTCCTGGGATCGAGCCCTGCATTGGGCTCCCTGCTCCGCAGGGAGCCTGCTTCTCCCTCTCCCTCTGCCTGCCTCTCTGCCTACTTGTGCTCTCTCTCTCTCTCTGTCAAATAAATAAATAAAATCTTTAAAAAAAAAAAAATCTCACAGGCTGTAACTGTGGTAATGAATATTAACTAGGTTTATTATTATCATTTCACAATGTATACACATACTGAATCATGTATATCTGAAACCGATATTATGTAATATGTCAGTTCTATCTCAGTTAAAAAAAGTTATCAATCCTTAACACTACCACCACCAACCAGTAACACTTTTTGGTAAATCTAAAAAAAAAAAAAAAAGACCTCATGGGCATCTCAGAAGGATTGAGATGATCTTGAGCCCTGATGTTCAAGGACTAATTCCTAATGCTTATAAAGCATGAAGTGGGAGAGACTGCTTATTCTGCCCGAGTGAGAACTCAGGGAAGAAGAGGCAAGGGCAGTTTACAAAGCTGTGTTTTTCCTCCACGCACAGGGAATCAGATTGCCAAGCCGGAGGTCATCTCTCTATTGGAGCAAGGAGAGGAGCCATGGTCAGTGGAACAAGCATATCCTCAAAGCACTTGTCCAGGTGAGGTCAGGCCCCAGGTGGGAGCAAGGAACTTTCCTCTAAGCCCTCCTTGTTTGAGAACTGGGCTGAGCACGTGAGGAGTTACCTTCCTCAGACATTCACGATTCCCTCCAAGGAGATTTATCCCATGTATTGACTTTTTTGCAGCTGTTGATACAGAGCAAAGATGGCCACCTTGTTAACAAGGTAACAGTTTTTGTAAGCTGCAGTTTCCCTTCCTTGCCATCCACTCTCCTGATACCACCTCTCGTATTCTCTGCTGCCCCTCTCTCGATGATTTCTCGTTCACTTACCTGCTTTTAATTTGTTCTTATTTCCTTTATTGCCAAACTTGTAGCGAGGGGCCACAGACCCCTCTTCTTCTTCTTTTTTTTTTTTTAAAGATTTTTATATAGGTAATGTATTTATATGGCTCAAAAAACCCAGAGCTACATAAAAGGAGTAAGCTGAAAAATCTCATTTACTTTTGCTGCTGTTGTCTACGTTATTCTTCCCATACCTCTACACACACAGGGCACACACAAAGGTAACCACTTTTTTACTATAAATTTTTGAGCTATTTTCTTAGTGGTTGCCCTGGGGATTATAATTAACATCTGAATTTATAACTCTCTAGTTTGGATTAATACCATTAACTTTATAGTGTACAGAAACTTTCCTTCTGTATATCTCTATTCTCCCCCATTTATGCTGTTATTGTCGCAAATTACATGTATATATCGTATGTCCATCAACATAGACTTACAATTATTGCTTTGTTTTTGTCTTTTAAATAAGATAGGGAAGAAAGTTACAAACAAAGAATGCATTTGTAACGTCTTGTTATATTTACCTATGTAGTTACCTTTATTGATGCCCTATTTTTGACTTACTGTCTAGCGTCCTTTCATTTCAACATAAAGGACTCCATTTCTTCTAGGGCAGGGTTTGCTAGCAGACTCTCTCAGGTGACGCTTATCTGGGAGTGCTTTCCTTTCCTCTTCATTTTGGAAGGAATGTCTTGTCAGATACAGAATTCTTGGTTGACAGTATTTTTCTTTCTAGCCTCCATGGTTTCTGAAGAGGAATAAGCTGTTAATCATATGAGGATCCCTTGTATGTGATGAATTTCTTCTCTCTTGCTGCTTTCAGGATCCTCTCTTCGGCTTGTAATAGTTTAATTATGATGGGTGTTCTAGATTCCCAGGAATATGTTAGAAGTTTTCAAAGCCCTGTGAACATCTCATCCCTCAGCTTTTTAAAAATCTTTTTGGTTTTGTGTATCGTTTGCCTCAGCTATTTTCCATCCTCTCAGGCAGTACAACTTTTTAAATACATTGCCTGCAAATGTTTAACAAATACCTGCTCCCTAGAGGCTTCTAGCCCCTGACAGCCTTTCAAGGGAGGTCTTCCAGGGAACCACCAAATAGGTCAAATGATGACTGCTCTTTGGGAATGAGGCTTTGGGAAGCCTCCAGCTCTAGTACCTCTAGTACCAGAAATATGGGCTGAGATTTTCCAAGGCTGCTGCGGAGCTGGGGAGCCAGAGATGGGACTAGGGTAATTTACAATGCCGTAAAGCTCACTGCTATAAAAATCCAGCTGTTTTGCTTGAATAAGCTCTTCCCTTGGCTGCTTCAAGACTTTGGTTAATTTATAAAATTCTGAGGAAATTGATTCTGACAGTTTTTGCCAGTGTTGTGGTTGCTCTAGGGAATGGTGAAATTTCAGAGGCCCTTATTTTGCCCTTTTTACTGACATCTTGCCCCAGATAATCAGTTTTAATAATTTCTATTGTATTTTTCCAGTTTCTTCATACAACTACAAACATATATTTTCATCTTTCTTAAAGTAGATTATGATACACACTGTTCTGTATCTTGCTGTTTTCAATTTAACAGTGTGCCATAGCCTGCTCTTAAGCCCTGGAGGTGGACGTCTTCTCATCCATTCTAATGAACTGGTGATTTTTGGAGTCTCATCAGTTGCCCCCCTTCAGATCTGAAACCTTCCATCAAGGGCTCATGAATTCCGGTAGCTTTCACTCTGCTACTCTTGGTGCTGACCATCCTGGGCCACCATCCTGAGCCTGGTGGTTCCACCACCTCCATCCTCCCGTTTCTACCGTCTTGCAAACCGCCTCAAATATCTCCTTGATCTCGATAAATCAGGAATCTCATTTCTTCCTTCTAGATGATGTTTCCCCCTCTTCTTCATGCGTATCCCTGGCACCAGCCTTCTGTGAGTCCCCTAAGCTGGAAATTGAGAAGTCATCCTGACCTCCCACTCTTCCCAAGAAGTAATCTGTCTTCTACCTCCTGAGATTTTCTGCCTCTGAAGCGTCAGCTGTGTCCTTCAGCTTCCACCAACATCATTCTCAGTTTCCTTACAAAATTCTAGCTCAAGTTAATGCATAAATTCTTATTATTAGTTACCTCAGGTGTTATTTCTAGATTTATCTTCCTGAAGTCTTCCATTATGAGGTCTCTGTCAGTAAGTCTATAGTGATTAGAATAGCCTGTTAAATAACTCTGACTAGATTTCAAGACCTTCCAATTTTTTCTGTTATTTTTCTCATTTTCTGACTAGGTCATGCTGTATAAGAGCAGTCTGTCTGTATTCAAGCAAGGCTTGAAGGCCGAGCTCACGTCATTTCTCTGTGTGAAACCTTCCTGGGTTGTTTCTATCCGTGCTGATCTCCTTTTCCGGCCTCCCACCCACCCAGCATCTACATCTCTGCAGTCTCTCAGTGATACACTGTGTGTATTGTCCATAACTGTTTAGTATGTCCTCTCATCACATAGATTCTAACCTCCTGGTTAGACTATACTTTGTTGTCTTGTCTCTGGTTCTGGATACTCAGGCCACAAGTATCGAATATAAAGTTGGACAAGAATTGTTCATTTGGTCAGCTGCTATTTCTTAAAGTTTCTTTTGGGAGGATTCAAAGCTATATGGTCATCATTCCCTAACTTCAAGGAGCTAAGCTTGAAGTTGGTAATAAATGCCAGTTTTTGAGCAGAGTAGAGCCCCTTTTGTAATGGACTTGGATAGTAAAAGGAAGGAAATGGTGTATAGGGAATAGAGAAGAAAAACCTAGAGAAAGGGACAAGGGTCTAGGCCCTGGCAGGTGTCTGTGGCTTTAGACCCTGTGGTAGGGCGAATAATGACAACCCCCCACCCCTACCCCCCAAAAGATGTCCACATCTTAAACTTCTGAGTATGGTACTTCATATGGCAAAGGGGCTTCTCAGATGTGAGTACATTTGGAGCTGGAGAGATTATCTCGCATTATCTGAGTGGGCAGTCGTAAGGTCCTTATAAGAGTGAGGCAGTAAGTAGTGTCAGAGACAGAGAAAGGAGATGTGATGATGGAGACGGGATGGAACGATAGGCTTTGAAGATGGAAGAAGGAGCTGTAAGCCAAAGGATGCAGGCAGCTTCTAAAAGCAGGAAAAGGCAAGGATGTGGATTCTCCCCTAGAGCTTCTAGAGGGAAGCTACCCTGATTTTAGCCTAGTAAAAGCCCTTTTGGACTTCTGACTTCCAAAGCTGTAAAGTAATAAGGTTTGTTATCTTAGGCTTCAACATGTGTGGTAATTTGTTACTTTAGAAATAGGAAACTAATACAGACCTCTTCAGTTGTTGGAGGACTCACACCTCAGCAATGATGATGGGTGGCTTTCTTATACTGAATTTGCCAAACATTTCACTGGATTCACGATCTTATGGAATTATTCGAAACATCCTCTAAGGATAGTGCAGAGTCAGCCTCTAAATACAGATTATATCAGGCTATACCTCCCTTGTCTTCATCATAATATGTTGCCTTTCAAGTCTGTCTCTTGTGTCATTACCCTACAAATGATGCCGTAGTTATTAGAAGAATTGTCTAACTGTAAGAGTATCCTTAAAGTGTGGTGATTTTTGAGCTGATGAATTTTGTCACTGACTGAACTGAATAGGAAACGAGGTGATAGTTTATTATCATAGATAACATCCTTGCTTAAAACTTTTATTTGTGATGCTTTCTCTTAACCCCACCCCCTCCTTTGGGGGGGGGCAGGTGTCAAATAGGGGAGGAGTCAGGATATTATAACACAGAAATGATTTAGAGCACTTTAATCATTTAAACATTAGTTAAAGGCCTGGTTACTTATTTATTTTTTTAAGCAACGTTATTTCTTACTTTTTTACCTTAATCGTATTCACTGTGTCCTTTGTCAGGGATCTCCCAGACCACCCTTAGGTTCAGTGATTCCCTAGAAGGACTCAGAGGACTCAAAAGTCATTATATTCAGAGTAGTGGTTTATTAAGTGAAAGGATACAAAGCAACGTCAGCAAAGGGAAAGGCATGTGAAACAGGTCCGGAGGAAACCCAAGTGCAAGCTTTCAGTAGTCATTTGCCAGTGGAGTTGCAAAAGACACATTTAATTCCTTCAGCAGTGAGTTGTGACAGCATGTATGAAGTGTCATCTACTAGGGAAGCTTGCCTGAGCCGAGGAGTCCCGACGTGTTTACTGGGGATTGGACATTTGGGTACACAGTGCCTGAATAGCTGACTGCAATCACGGAAGCTCCAGATCCCCAGAAGGAAAGCAGGTGTCCACCACAAATGACATTTGTACGAACTGTTTACAGATACTGAGACGGGGTGCTTCAAGACCTCGAGCATGCAGAACAACCTTATACCATTTAAGACCTCAATTCCTAGTAGCTGGCCGAAGGCTAGTCGTGAAACAGGCCTTTGTGGGAATGTGCAACGTTTGAACAACTCAGGCATGCAGTTAGCTTTTTTCTTTAAGGTTTTATTTATTTATTTGAGAGGGAGAGACAGATCGCGAGAGAGAGCAGGAGCGGGGTTGAGAGGGAGAAGCAGGCTCCCCACTGACCAGGCAGCCTGCCGTGGGACTCGACCCCAGGACCCTGAGATCATGACCTGAGCTGAAGGCAGACGCTTAACCAACCTAGTCACCCAGGCGCCCCATGCAGTTAACTCTTTACCACACACACTGATTCTGGTCTTCCTTCCATGGGAAAATACACCTAAATGGTCTTTGCTGGTATTCTGTACACACTTACTCTGGTTAACATTCTTTTTTTTGTTCACTTTTCACTATTCTCCTCTTTCCTACTACACTCTTTCTCTGTGTTACAGTTTTATTTGAAAGTAAGTCCACATTTGCCTTTTCAATAATATGGACAGTAAATCTCACTTTTCCCACTCTGTTCTTAGAAGTTTTTTCTCTGTGCTCTCATGGCTTTTTTTCCGATTATTTCAGAGTGGATGAGAAATCTTGAAAGCAAAGCATTGATCCCAACACAAAGCATTTTTGAGGAAGAACAATCCCATAGCATGAAGTTGGAAAGATACATATGGGATGATCCTTGGTTCTCCAGGTTAGAAGTCTTGGGATGTAAAGACCAATTAGAAATGTATCACATGAACCAGAGTACAGCTATGAGGCAAATGGTCTTCATGCAAAAGCAAGTACTGTCTCAAAGAGGTTCTGAATTCTGTGAACTTGGAGCAGAGTATAGCCAGAACTTAAACTTAGTTCCATCTCAGAGAGTTTCTCAAATAGAACATTTCTATAAGCCTGATACAAATGCTGAAAGCTGGCGGTGTAACTCAGCCATAATGTATGCAGATAAGATTACCTGTGGCAATCATGATTATGACAAAGCCTTCCACCAGTCCATACAACCTATTCAGCATGAAAGGATGCAAACTGGAGAGAATCTTCTCAAATGTACTGATGCTGTTAAATCTTTCAATCATATACTACATTTTGGTGATCATAAGGGAATGCATACAGGAGAAAAACTCTATGAATATAAGGAATGCCATCAAATCTTTAACCAGAGCCCATCATTTAATGAACATCCACGACTTCATGTTGGAGAAAACCAGTATGATTACAAAGAATATGAGAATATCTTTTATTTCTCATCATTTATGGAGCATCAAAAAATTGGTACCGTAGAGAAAGCGTATAAATACAATGAATGGGAGAAAGTCTTCGGGTATGACTCATTCCTTACTCAACATACAAGCACTTACACCTCAGAGAAACCCTATGAATATAATGAATGTGGGACATCTTTCATCTGGAGCTCTTACCTTATCCAGCATAAGAAAACTCATACTGGAGAGAAACCCTATGAATGTGATAAATGTAGGAAAGTGTTTAGGAATCGTTCAGCCCTTACTAAACACGAGCGGACTCACACTGGAATAAAGCCCTACGAATGTAATAAATGTGGAAAAGCCTTCAGCTGGAATTCTCATCTAATTGTACATAAAAGAATTCATACGGGAGAGAAACCTTATGTATGTAACGAATGTGGGAAGTCTTTCAACTGGAACTCACATCTTATTGGACATCAGAGAACTCATACTGGAGAGAAACCTTTTGAATGTACTGAATGTGGGAAATCTTTCAGTTGGAGCTCCCATCTTATTGCCCACATGAGAATGCATACTGGAGAGAAGCCCTTTAAATGTGATGAATGTGAAAAAGCTTTCAGGGATTACTCAGCGCTTAGTAAACATGAAAGAACTCACTCTGGAGCAAAACCATATAAATGTACAGAATGTGGAAAATCCTTCAGCTGGAGCTCCCATCTCATTGCCCATCAGAGAACTCACACAGGAGAGAAACCGTATAACTGTCAGGAATGTGGCAAAGCATTCAGAGAACGCTCAGCCCTCACTAAACATGAAATAATTCATTCTGGAATCAAGCCTTATGAATGTAATAAATGTGGAAAATCCTGCAGCCAGATGGCTCACCTTGTTAGACATCAAAGGACTCATACTGGAGAAAAGCCCTATGAGTGTAATAAATGTGGAAAATCCTTCAGCCAGAGCTGTCACCTTGTTGCTCATCGGAGAATTCACACTGGTGAGAAACCTTATAAATGTAATCAATGTGAAAGATCCTTTAACTGTAGCTCTCACCTTATTGCACACCGGAGAACTCATACTGGAGAGAAACCATATAGATGTAATGAATGTGGGAAAGCATTTAATGAGAGTTCTTCCCTCATTGTACATCTAAGAAACCATACTGGAGAAAAACCCTACAAATGTAATCATTGTGAGAAAGCTTTCTGTAAGAATTCTTCTCTTATTATTCATCAGAGAATGCATAGTGGAGAGAAACGCTTTATATGCAATGACTGTGGAAAAGCCTTTAGTGGTCACTCAGCCCTACTTCAACATCAGAGAAATCATAGTGAAGAGAAACTGTGAATTGAATTGATAGATTTTTCTTTTATTGTACATTTGGTAACACATTGAAAAAGAAAAAAAAAGTATAAATCAAGAGGGGAAATTTTTTAGTAAGAATTCAGGAAGACTTATTATTCAATAGAAAATATCTTCTTAGAAGAAACCTATGAATGAAAAGACTGGAAAAAGCTTTCAGCAGTTATGTAGCCTTTATTTAACATCAGATAATTACAGTGATGAAAACTCCAAACTCCTCTAATGGTCCACCAGGAATCCTACTTAAGGAACATGAATGGAGGGAATGAGACTTCTTTTCTAGGGAGATCTCAACTATTTGTGGATCAAAGTGCATTGTTAAGGGGAAAACCTTATTCTGGGAAGTTTTTCAACTGAAAATACACTTTTGCATCAAGCTGGAATGATAGATGGGAAGCTTTATAGTAACATCTTGTTCATAATTGTGGAAATACAGATTTTGCTGTTATAAAGGGAGGATGTGGGTGCCCTTTAAGGAACAGAATATGAAATACTAAATCTGAATTTAAGAAAAAAATAGTATTGAATGGGATATTTGCTGTTGATCAAGATTAACCTTAGAAAAGATTAGTAAATGAGATTACTAATGGTGGAAAGATTATTACCTAGAAGTATGAGACTGATCAAGAGGTGACAGTTTATGACCCAGTGTGTCAGTGTCCATGGTTTACTCATTGATTGCATCGTTGGACAATTCATTTGTAATTTGTTTTAGGCAATCACTATAAAGTTATAATTGTGGACACCGCATCAATATATATAATGTTAAGGAATGAAAAGGACACAAAATTGTACATACATATCTATTATAACATCTAAAAAATGTATACAGATAAAAGACTGGAAGGACCCATGGAGAAATTAACCTGGTTAATTTAAGATTTTTAAAAATTTTTACAAACACATACAGCACTTATCATGTGCTAGACTTTGTTTTAAATGCTTTTCAAACATTAACTTGTTCAGTCTCCTTAATGCTATGAGATAGGTACCTTTATTATCCCAGTTTTGTAAATGGAGAAACTGGGCCAGAGATGTTGAGAAACCTAAGGACACACAGCTGTTAAGAAATGGAACTGAGATTGTTTGGCTCCAGAGTCATGTTTTTAACTACTATGTTATGCTGCCTCTCCAGTGATTTTTTCCCCTAATTTTTTTCTTTTGTTCAGTTTTCTATAGTAGATATTTAATAATAAAAATCCAGAAATCCCAAAGCAATGAGAAATAAAGTTACCTGGCTCTCTGTCCTGAATGATTTCTGGTAACGTGAGAGCTAAATTCCCTTTGGAATATGAAATCTGGATTGGACGTTCAGAATCACTGCATTTTCTGGGACCTGGGTTCCCTAGGATTTCACTACCCACAACCTTGAGGATTACAGCACAACAAATGGCTGGAAGACTCACCAGAGGTTTGGGCAATGCTAAGGAATGCCCCTTGATGGGTTTAGAATGGCCCTCATGGGACAGACAGCAAGAGACACTACTGCACATGGGAGCAATATTTCTCAAGGTCTCCCTCAAATTCAGTGTTTATGTTTTCTCCTCCAGCGGAGAAGATTGCTTGATAGTAGGGGGGCTTCAAAGGGAAGGGAGCTTACCACTTCAGCAGAGTGAAGAAGTCTCTCTGTTCCTAGTGGAAAGGAGGCAAGATGGGTAAGAGGATTTAGGTGACTTCTCTCCAGTTCACAGATACTTCCTGTATTTCCCTAAAGTAGGGCTATAATTGGAGGCCAACAGTTCTTGGATAGGTTTCAAGGGTATGGGTTAGAAATCTAGGATACAAAAGGTTCGTCGAGTTCTTGCAGGGCCCATGACTTCCCATTGTTTGAGAAAGTGGCCTACTGGTGTGGGGAGGCTGTGTTCACCATCCTGTAGCTGGAACTCACATAGGTATGTAACATCTGATTCCCTGCCTTTCAGGGCTTAATGCATAGTGGTCACCCAATAAATGTTGCAGGAGTAAATTACTGAATGGATTTCTCATGTGATTTGTGCAAAGACCTTTAGAGAGCATAGAATTAGCAGCATCTCTGTAAGAGAAAGCAGTATGTATCAAGTCATAGTGTCACTATGTGGGTATAGTACTCTAATACCCGATGTAATACATGCTGAGCAAATCCAGTTTCTCTGATTTAGGGACTCCAAAGGATCTCATAATTCATACATAATATTATACAAGCATACTGACAAATTATTCTATATTATTCAGCTTAATATCCTTTAAAAAAATTTTCTAAAAGTGCCTCTTGTGGCCCAGCTGACATCACAAGTCAAGAGAAAGTCCCAGACTTCTGCTTCCTCCTGGAAGGATCCCCACATTCCTACCACCTGTCACACACGTGCACAGTGTGCCTTGGATGTTCAGGACTCCCAGGCCCCCTCACTTCCCTTATTCTAACCCATGTATGGCTCAGTTCATTGCCCTTTTGACCCTATCTTCTCACCAACTCTGGAACCTTCTGTTGGGCCCAGCTGGAACTCTTACTCGGCCATGAGCTCTCCCTTTTCACCTTCCTGCCGTGATTGAAGTTTGGGTCTCCCCTACGTACAGTTTTTCTTACGATGGCTCCAGGGGTCGCTCCTTTCCCTCCCACTTTTCTTATTTGCTGCTTCTAGATTGTTCCTCCCTTCTCTCTAAAACTTACCTCTGACTCTTGGGATATGAGACCATCATTCCAGCTTCCCTTCATTGCAGTCATCTAATGGGTCATTCATCCACATATCAAAGATTTCAGCACCTGCCTTACTGCATCTAGAACCACCTCCATCATAATACTTCCTGGTTCCATCATCCATCTAGATGATCTTCCCATGTACTGACCTCAGTTCTTTGTCCCCTCTGCTCATGGTTTTGTCAACCACTAGGACTATTCCATTACTAGTGACTGGAACACCTCCACCTTCTATTTCCTAAGCTGGTTGACTATTTAGTATCAAGCTTCCAAAAATCCCTTGACTTAACCTTCCCTCATGCTCACTGCCAGCAGACGACTTTGCTTCCTATTTCCCTGAGAGAACAGAAGCAATCAGCAGAAGCCTGCCATAACATCTACCTACCTTCCACAGGTACCTACATATGAACTGAATGGGTTGGCTCCAGAGCCTGTCTCCTCCATACTACTCAAGGTCATTGCTCCAGCAAAGTTTCCCCTATCTCATGTATCATCAAGTTTTCCCTGTGTACTGGATTATTCCCACCAACATGCAAAGATGCTTTAAAAAAAAAAGGAAAACCTCTCAATACCACATTTCCTTCTAGCTCCTGCATAATCTCTGCTTTGTTGTAGGAAGCAAGTTTTTTAAAAGTTGTTTGTTTTTTTTTTAAGATTTTATTAATTTATTTGACAGAGACAGCAAGAGAGGGAACACAAGCAGGGGGAGTGGGAGAGGGAGAAGCAGGCTCCCTACTGAGCAGGGAGCATGACCTCGAAGGCAGACGCTTAAGGATTGAGCCACCCAGGCGCCCAAATAGTTGTCTTTACTTATCCCTACTTCCTTTCCATTCTTTCTTGAACCTTCTCCAAAGCTGCCTCACTGCCAGAAGTCCTCCACATTGTTAAACCTAGTGGTCAATTCTGTTTTTCCCTTTCTTAAAATAGCATTATAGATAATAGATCATTTCCTCCTTAAAACATATTTTTCAGCTGGCTTTCTGGACTTCCCTCCTGAGTCTGGCCTTCGTTTCAGGCCTCCTTGCCTGTTTCCTTCCCACTTCCCTTCATATTGTCAGGTGCCCTGTTTTCTACCTGTTTACACCTCTGATGGTCTTGTCCAGTCTTGAGGCTTCAAACACCACTGGTATGCTGAGGACTTTACTTTTAGGGCTACGGTTTGATGAATGTTGAAAATGTATACACCCTTGTAACCACTGCTACAATCAAAACAGAGTATTTTCACTTTTCCAGAAAGTTTCTTCATGTCTCTACAGTTCATCTCCACCACTTTTTCTTTTTTTTTTTTTTTAAGATTTTATTTATTTATTTGAGAGAGAGAATGAGAGACAGAGAGCAGGAGAGGGAGGAGGGTCAGAGGGAGAAGCAGACTCCCTGCTGAGCAGGGAGCCCGATGCGGGACTCGATCCCGGGACTCCAGGATCATGACCTGAGCTTAAGGCAGTCGCTTAACCAACTGAGCCACACAGGCGCCCTCCATTTTTTTTTTTAAAGAACAAGAACAACAAAACATTTTTGCACGAGGATATAAACATAGGGAGAAGAAAATAGGGATTTTGAAGAGCATTACAAGAGATGAGAGGTCAGTTTTTAAAAGCCTGTGATATGCTTAAATCTGAGACCAATGAATAAAGCCTTACTTTTGTTTCAGTGACAAATGGTAACAAATGAAAGAAGCAGAATGATGATAGGCTTGCACAAGGATTAGTAAATACAGAAAACAACAAGGAATGAGCTAGGCCAGTCTACAGTATTCAGGCTCTTTCTGCCTGGATTTCTGTTAAACCTCCCTGATTAAGACCCTTCTGGGGCACCTGGGTGGCTCAGTTGGTTAAGCATCTGTGTTTGGCTCAGGTCATGATCTCAGGGTCCTGGGATTGAGCCCCATGTCAGGCTCCCCACTCAGCGGGGAGTCTTCTTCTCCCTCTCCCCACTTGTGCTGTCTCTCTTGTTCTCTCTCTCAAATAAATAAAATTTAAAAAGAATCTTATGGGGCACCTGGGTGGCTCAGTTGGTTAAGCAACTGCCTTCAGCTCAGGTCATGATCCCGGAGTCCTGGGATGGAGCCCCGCATCGGACTCCCTGCTCAACCGACAGTCTGCTTCTCCCTCTGCCTCTCACCCTGCTCCTATTCTCTCTCTCAAATAAAAAATCTTTTTAAAAAACCTTATAAAAAATATTCATACCCCATAACACATAGTGGGCTTTGTTTTTCTGAACTCCCCCTATTCTTTTTGTACGTCTTTTATACATCCTTGATGGTTATGTACAGGCACAGCCATTTATACGCGCTCATGTCGCTAATCCACCAGGGTGCTCTGCTCACCAGCCCTCGCCCACTTCTTTGGGAAGCAATCAAGTATTCCCAGACAAATCCATCTTCTGATTCTATGCCTCTGTATTTCCTTTCTAAGCTTTTAACATTTATTTTTCTCTTTTTAATTTTGTTTACCAGGGAGTAAGTGCCTCCCTTCTCATTTATGACTAAAAGAAGAAGAAAGAACGAGGAGGCAATAAATCATCCCACAGATAATCATATTTGACAAATGTTTTAGTTCTTTCCAAAGTCAAATTCCTATGTTTCTGATTTTATCTTGAGTCACCTTGCAGTATAAATGGTGTTATGCCTGTAGTAAAAACAAGGTAAACCATGATTGTAATAGTTGTTATTAGCATAGACCAATATACAAATATTATAAAATTTTATAGTATGTAATAATATAGTAAAAGAATTTTGAGTGACATATTCTGGGATATGTGTTAAACACTTTATGGAAATTTACGTCTTTATTTTTTAATATTTCATCCTTTTGATTTAAAATGTTTCTCTTGGGGCGCCTGGGTGGCTCAGTCGTTAAGCATCTGCCTTCGGCTCAGGTCATGATCCCAGGGTCCTGGGATCGAGTCCCACATCGGGCTCCCTGCTCGGCAGGAAGCCTGCTTCTCCCTCTCCCACTCCCCCTGCTTGTGTTCCTGCTCTCGCGGTCTCTCTGTCAAATAAATAAATAAAATCTTTAAAAAAAAAAAAAAGTTTCTCTTTTAGGACTCCTGTTATTCAAATGTTAGCACGCTTATGTCTGTTGTCCATATTTCTTAACCTTTCTTTTATGTTCTCTAATTCCTTTTCCTTTCTTTTTTCTGGACATTTCCTCAATTTGCTCTTCCAGTTTGCTAATTTCTTTATCAGCTGTCCATTTTGCTATTCATTTCCTCTACTGTGTCTTCAACAATTGTTTTACATGACTAATATTTATATTTGGTTCTTTTTATGTTAATATTTTTATTTCCTGTTGCTAATATCATGCCTTATCTCTTTAAATGTATTTAATAGACTAATTTAAAATATTGGCCCATCTGTTCTAATATATCTGCTTCTGATGGAATCTGTAATGCAGTGTGTGTTTTCTCTTGAAATTCTTATGCTTAGAAAATTGCTTATTACTTTGGCCAGTAAGTGTATTTCCTTTGGGGTCATTGGTTATTCCATCAGGTCGTTGTTATGCATACATGTGATGGGATCAGATTCTGGTCCCTATAAATAGTTCAGGGGTGGGGAGAATGGATGGTCGAAATATCAGAAAGCTAGTCAGTGACTCCTCACCTCATGAGATCACTCCTTGGAATGTGATTCGCCATCCCCAAGCTTTGAGGAGGCAGGGTGGAGAAGCACTTGTATGAGGTAACGTGGTCTTTGCCTGTTTCTCAGCTACTCATAAGCACAGGCTAGTGCCTTGCCTTGAATCCATTCCTCGGAAAGCCTGGACCAGAGGTTGGGTTACTGCAGCTGTGGGCACAGACACTGTTCCAAGGCAAAGGCAGGGAAGAAGCAAGAGCAAACTCCAGAAGTTCCTTTTGTTTTATTCTCACAGCTCAGCTGTCTCCTGTTCTAGCCACCCAGCCCAGCATACTAGTTCAAATCAGGACCAATCCAGGTCTTTCAAGCAATTTCTGATATTCCTCATCTTTTGCTTCAGTCATACCTGGGTTTATTTCAGGTGGGTGCCTGTAGGGCATATAGGGACCAGAATTGGAATCTCAGTTGTGAATCTTTGAATAGATGGTCTCAACGTGAGGTCTGTGGAAAGATACTGGAGACCACGTCCCATCATACCTTCCCTTATTCTCTCAACTTCTCTGTAGGAGCAGCACACAGCACAGCACAGGCAAGTCCAAGGCCAAGACGTTCTATCGAAAATGGCAGAGCACCCCCCCCCTCTTGATTCCCTCACCCTGCTCTATTCTTCTAGTCTAAATATTTGTAACATCTATCAACTGCAAGCAGGCTATATAACCAACTTGTTGTGTTTCTTTTTATTGCCTGTATCACTTTTACAAGATACAAGCTCCAGTAGGGCATGGTTTTTCACTTGCTCAGTGTTCTGTCACCAGGACCTGGAACAGTGTCTGGCACACAGCAAGTTCTCAACAAATGTCTGTTGAACGAAAGGCCAAACCAGCATTAGGATTATTCCCACACTCAGTCTCTAAACAGCCTCCCGTGTGATTATGACAATGGAAGGGTCCCAACAGAGTCCAGGGAACACAACCCAGGCCAAAGGAAGAACTTGGGGGTATGGGTTTATTACAGCATATAGAGGAAATAATGGGTGAGATTGATCTGGATTTTGAATGATTGGAAAAACACACCTTAATGCTTAAGAACTTCCTGGGCGCTGTTCTTGCCCTGGTCTACTTACTGGATGTTACAGTTGTCCAGTGAGTAAACCAGCTGGGTTGGGGGCTCTGAGCTCATTCCTTTGCAAGTTGGTATAAACTGGGCAGGGACTGGCATATGACTCCACGGATCCTCCAGTGCCTTAACACTGACAGGGGTGCAGAGACCCCAAACAGAGGGCAGGGAGCAGATCTTTCACGTGCATTATGTGTAAATGCATGTAAGCAAGCCTTTTAAGGTCATGGTATCAGTAGCCCAGGTACAAACGCCCTAACTCTGGACATCTTCATTTCCAATACCTTGGCGCCCCAAACCACGTGCGAAAGCCGTGTTTCTGTATTGGAATGATATGCTAGGGGCTTTGGGAACCCCCAAGCAGCTTTAACCAGCAAGGGCAGAATGACCCCCTCTGGCTACTGTGTGGGGGTGACGCCCTAACGGAGACAGCAGCGCGAGAGGAAGGCAAGCGTGGGGCTGCCGGCGGCTCCGACCAACGCGGTGCAGAGGCTGTGCGGGGAAGCGGGGAAACACTTCCGCCTGCGTATTCAGACAAGGACCTCGAAGCGAGATAAACACGAACCAGCCACGTCGCAGTGAAAGCACCGAAGGCCGGGAGAAGCGCAAAGGCAGCCAAAGACCGCGGCCACGGCCGAGAAGCTGGCAGCCGATTCGCGTCACTGGAAAACAGTCCGGCACTTCCGAGCTTCGGCAAACCGCCCCGGCAAGCGGCGGCCCACGCGGCGGGGAGACGCCGCAGGGGCCCAGCCTCGCAAGACGGGCCCCGGCGCGCTTCGCGCGTGCTGGGCGTTTCTCCCGGCCGGCTTAGCGGCGCGCGCGGCCCGAGTAGGCGGAGGGTGGAGCTGAGGACGACGGAGCCCCGGAGGGGACAGCCCGGCGTGTGCGCCTGCGCTCCCCTCACACCGGCGCCCGCGAAGCGACCCCGCGGGAGCGGGCCCTCCCGGCCGGACCTGCAGCCGCCGCGGCCGGCGCGGGCCTCCCGCAGAGCCCGCTGCAGCCGCCTCACGGCCCCCGGAACCGCCCCGCCGCGAGCGGGATGCGGGCGCCGACCCCGCTCACCTCCGGCCCCGGGCTGCGCGCAGGCGTCTCGGGCGCCGCCGCCGCCCCGCCCGGCCCGCGCGTCCTGCGGTTACCTGGGAGACGCGGCGGCGCCGCTTGGCCTTCTGGGACCCGCCCGGCGCGCGGGCGAAGAGCGCCGAGAGGGTCCTCCTCTGCCCTCAGTCGCCGGCTCGCCCAGCTCGCTTGCGGGGCGTTCGCTCCCAGGGCGCAGGAGCGATCGCGGGGGCGTGGAAGTTCCGTGGCGGGTGGGCCCGTCGACGTCCCTGCGGGGCCTGGCCTGGGGCAGTCGGCGAAGGCTGGGACGACAGGTGGGCTCGTGTGCCGGCCGCGGACGGGGCCTATAACGGGGGCATGCGGCTCTGCAAACACACAAACGTTGTAATGTTGAGGGGAAATTGAAAAGAACTGAAACGGGTGGCGATGAACTGACATGTTCACGAGCTGTAAATGAACATGTGAATGATTGGGGCGCCTGGGTGGCTCAGTCGGTTGGGCGACTGCCTTCGGCTCAGGGCATGATCCTTGAGGTCCGGGATCGAGCCCCGCATCGGGCTCCCTGCTCAGCAGGGAGTCTGCTTCTCCCTCTGACCCTCCCCCCCGCTCATGCTCTCTATCTCATTCTCTCTCTCAAATAAATAAAATCTTAAAAAAAAAGAATAAGAAAAAGAAATGAGCTATCAAGCCACGAAAAGACATGGAAGAACCTCATATACATACTACTGAGTGAAAGAAGCCAGTCTGAAAAGGCTTCATACTATATGATCCCAACTATACGACATTTCAGAAAAGGCAAAATTACGGAAACAGTAAAAAGATTGGTGATTGCCAGGGAGAGGGTGAAGGGAGAAATGAAGAGGTGGAGTACAAAAGATGTTTAGAGCAGTGCAGCTATGCTGTATAATGCTAAAAGTATGGATAAATGTCATGCGTGATACATTTGTCAAAACCCATAGAATTATAACACCAGGAGTCGACTGTACCCCATGAGGAGCTGCTCAGCGTGGGCACTTAGAGAGCGAGCTCAACCAAGCAGGTGGGGAGCAGAAGGTGAGTATCCATGGGAAAGTACTTTTACTGGGGGCCGGGATGGAGTTCGCAAGAATAGGTGGGAGAGGATGTCACTGATACATTTGAATGTTGATAGGTCACATTCAGGGGAGGGCAAAGGGGAAGACTTGTGGCAGGGGCCAGTCTTCTCACTTGGGTAACCTGGTCATTTGGTGGAGTGCTCGCAGCCTATTTGTGTGGCTGTTGAGGCAGCAGAAAAATACGAAGTTTTAAAATTTACAATACAGCGAAATGGGTGAAGGGGGTAAAAAGGTACAAACTTCCAGTTACAAAATAAATAAGTCATGGGGATGTAACGTACCGCATAGTGGCTAAAGTTAATAATATTATATTGCATATTTAATGCTATAGTTGCTAAGAAAGTGGATCTTAAAAGTTCCCATCACAAGAAAAAAGTTTTGTTAACTGGATGGTGATAGATGTTAACTAGACTTATTGGGGTGATCACTTAGCAATATCTACAAATATCAGATCATTGTACACCTGAAACTAACACAATGTTATGTCAATTAGAATTTTAAAAATTACAATACAATCTATTTTGTGGTGTCTCAACATCATTAACAATACTAATTGGGATGATAACGCTTGCCACCTGGGTTGAAGGTGATTGGGATGGGCAAACTTTGATAAAGGGAAAAACTAGGAAGAGTCCTATTAGTCATATGACAAGGGTTGGGACCCAGTTCTCAACCAGGTACCCCACTTTGTGGGAGAAAGCCAAGAGAACAGGTTGGGCACTCTGGATTTAAGGGAATCTGTTGGAAGATTTTGGTAATGTCATGAAAGACTTTTATCTCTTGGCCTAATCTTCACAACTTGACCTGACCTACACATCTGTCAGTATCGTTAAACCATAGTGGTATTCTGATGGATTAATACAATTCATCCAGCTGGGCTGGGTGCATGGAATGTATGAGCCAATTCAAGAACAAGTCTTGAAGAGCCAGGTGTCCAGAGACCTAAGGGAAAGGACTGGGTAAAACAGTAGTAACCATTGGGAAGTTGATATCCTAAAACTAACTCCAGAGAAAGCAGTGTCCATGGGAATTCTGACAGTCCAAAATCAAGTCTCACAGTAGCAGTGCATATGGAAATTGGTAGTCCAAAAACAAGTCCAAAGGGGCACCTGGGTGGCTCAGTCAATTAAGCATCCAACTCTTGATCTTGGCTTGGGTCTAGATCTCAGGGTCATGAGTTCAGACCCCGTGTTGGGCTACATGCTGGGCTTGGAACCTGCTTAACAACAACAACAACAACAAAAACTCCAAAGAGACAGCAGATGAACTTGTTCAGATGCGTCTGAATGGCAATTCTGAGATTGCAGGACTTATAGAAAGAGAGTGGGAACCAAGTTCTTAGATGGATCATCCCCCAGGCAAAGCTGGATGGAAGGAAGACAGGAGTGGGAATTAGGGTGTTGTAAGAATAAAGCAAGAAGCTGGCAATATCTAGAGGGTCTTAGCCTCGTCATCTCACAAACATTCAGAAAGGATAGCTGGGGAGGCACCTGGGTGGCACAGTCGGTTAAGCATCCGACTTGGTTTCCGCTCAGGTTATGATTTCAGAGTCGTGAGACTGAGCCCAAGTCGGGCTACGTGCTCAGCATAGTGTCTGCTTAAGGATCTCTCTCCCTTTTCCTCTGCCCCTCCCCCTCCTCTCTAAGATAAGTAAATAAATCTAAGAAAGAAAGAAAGAGAAAGGAAGGGAGAAAGAAAGAAAGAAAGAAAAAAAAGAGGAAGGAAGGAAGAAGAAAGAAAAAGAAAGAAAGAAAGAAAAAAAGAAAGAAGGAAAGAAGAATGAATAGCTGGCCTTTGGGTACAGTGCAGGTGGAACCAGTTTCTAATCCCAGGGGACTTCACAAGCATCGGGAGATCTGGTCTGCTATTGTTATTGGTAGAGGTGAATCAAAATCTGCCTTGGGTATTTTGAGAACTACTGGATGGACAAAGGACAAGTACAAGGGGCAACCTTCTATGCTATTTTCAATTCCATTTCCACATTTTGAGATGATTCCATTAATCTCCTTTAAAGAAACTTCTGGAGGCAGCCAAAGGGGTCTAGGGTTCTGAACAGTACCTGGAGGGTGGAGGTGTACTGAATTACTTTTTTGCAAATACTCTCCCATATTACAACAAGAACTAATGTTCAGTGCCAACACTATTTTTGAGCTTTGTATGGATTACATTATAGACATTGCTATAACCCTGTGAGGTAAGTGCTGTTTCTTTCTGCTATTTTTACAGATGAGGATACTGAAACCCAAAGGGCTTAAGTAACCTGATCAAGCAGAAATGTCTAGGAAGCCAGAGACTAGGACTAGAATTCAGGCTTCTGACTCCAGAGCCCTACTGTGTTCTCTGTTTGCCTCTTAGGTGTCCTATTGAATTATAACTGATCTTGGCTGCCTCCTCACTGGTCTGTACACTCCCTGAGGGCAGGGCCCTGGTTTTATTATCTGTACCCACAGGTGAGCCGCCTCCTCCCGCGCCCCATCCCGTTGGTATCCCCATTGGTTGACTTGGTTCCATTGAGGAAGTCCATGTGGCAACCGGAGCTGACCTCACATTGGAGGCTCCGAGTCAGAACCCAAACATTCTGTAGGGAGCAGAGTTTCCTAGTTCCCCATAAATACAGGGCAGATACTACACTATAGCTAAATATATGCTTTCATGCGTATGATGAAAGACTAACAGTTTTGGAGTGATGGACAAGGTTCAAAGTTCTTTCACCTTTCTAGTTTTGTTTTTAATGGAATGCCCACTTCTTTTATGCTTGCCTTATGGAGGTGAGTTCTAGCCAGTTGAACTAGCAACAGACTTAATGGGTAGCTTCAGCCATTGTTTTTACTTGTTTCAGGGGAAATAAAAAGGGGTAATTACATTTCACTGCTACAAGTTTTCTTTCAAAGGCTACAGATAGTCACAAACATCCACAAATGTCACTAAACAGGAAGGTGTTTTCTCAGGACTCAAGTCATTGTATTACTCATTCGGTGAAATGAAAACCGTAGTCTGGGGTCATCCTATTTACTATATGAATGTGTCTTTTCTTGTGTATTTGTTAGTAGCATGCTCCATACAATAATATAATTAGATAAGCATTGCTTGGAAATTAGTCTGATATTATTCTCTCTCTGTAAGCTGTGCTTTCTTTTTAGGAATTACTGTGCTTCTCTTTCATTTCACTTAGCACACACAGAAACTTTGACTGCCTCAGGATTTTTTGAATGGGTCTGTATGACTTTAACTGTAATTTGGGGGATGTTTTGGCAGTAGACCGTAGGAATCCAGATACAGATGCTCTGCAAGTGTAAAATGTTCTTTATAATCATCTGTCTTCTATGCTTTGCATTTTGAGTCCCCAAACTCAAAGTTTATCTCAAAACAGAGAAACTGACCCTGACAATTGGGGAAGTCAGGCAGTAACTTTGTGAAGATATGTGGTACTTATAAACAATCTCTATTCCGTACAAGGGAAATGCTATCTGCACCATATAACAGCATCTAATTTCTGTAGGAGGAGAGGATATTGCCATGGGGCCCTCCCTGGCCCTGGCTCTCTGACCCCTGATGACAGCACAGACCCCTTCAAATCCGTCAGGTCCTCAACGGGCTCATGTGACTGCAAAAACAGACCAGAAGCCAAATGCATTATGTTCTTAACTCTCCATATTCATGAAAGGAAACGCTGGATGCAAACAGAACAAATTGCCAATTAAGCCACCTATTTCTATGAGGCACTGTAATAAATTTATTAACAGCATTTACCTTCTTAGCTATTAGGTCCCCTTGTCTGATACCAAGTTATTTATTTATTTATTTATTTTTTAGATTTTATTTATTTATTTGACAGAGAGAGACACAGTGAGAGAGGGAACACAGGCAGGGGGAGTGGGAGAGGGAGAAGCAGGCTTCCCGCAGAGCAGGGAGTCCGATGCGGGGCTCGATCCCAGGACCCTGGGATCATGACCTGAGCCGAAGGCAGACGCTTAACGACTGAGCCACCCAGGCACCCCGATACCAAGTTATTTATTTTCCTAAATCTGTCTTAAACTTGTGTCTTCTCTCTGATCCCTTTGAACGGCCTTCTAGCTCTGAGACCTACTATACCCAGGCAATTCCCAGGGCATAATGGTAAGTCAAGGGATCTGGGAGGGTGGCTGGGATTCAGGGACATTTCCCAAAGCTGTTGTGGTGTCTGGTTCCAGAGGGTGCCCCACCCACAGTGGTCATCACTAATCTGTACAGCCCTTTCTGCAAATTAGAAAAAGGAATGCCCTCTGGATGGTTGGTTTTGTCGAGGCCACTCAGAGCAGGTTAGAAAATAGCACAGATGTCAAAGCGTCAGGAAATACAGAAAATCTTTCTTTTTTTTTTTTTTTTTTAAGATTTATTTATTCATTTGAGAGAGCGAGAATGAGAGAGAGTACATGAGAGGGGGCAGGGTCAGAGGGAGAAGCAGACTTCCCACTGAGCAGGGAGCCCGATGCGGGACTCGATCCTGGGACTCCAGGATCATGACCTGGGCCGAAGGCAGTTGCTTAACCAACTGAGCCACCCAGGCGCCCAATACAGAAAATCTTAAAAACACAATTAATACATGCAGCCATCCCAAACACATTATCAGTTTTTTTGTTTTTTTGTTTTTTTTTTAATTTTTTTATTCTTATGTTAATCCCCTTACATTACAACATTAGTTTTAGATGTAGTGTTCCATGATTCATTGTTTGTGCACAACACCCAGTGCTCCATGCAGAATGTGCCCTCCTAAATACCCACCACCAGGCTAACCCATCAGTTTTTTTTTTTTAAGATTTTATTTATTTGAGAGAGAGAATGAGACAGAGAGAGAGAGAGCATGAGAGTGGGGAGGATCAGAGGGAGAAGCAGACGCCCCGCTGAGCAGGGAGCCCAATGCGGGACTCGATCCCGGGACTCCAGGATCATGATGACCTGAGCCGAAGGCAGTCGTTTAATCAACTGAGCCACCCAGGCACCCACATTATCAGTTTTTCTAAAGCTCAGCTATGAATATCTCACTTCCTGTTTACCCCCCTACCGCCAAAGCCCAGAGATTGAATTCTTGCCAAGGTAGCAGGAGACCTGTATTCTAATCTTTACTTTGAAACTAACTTGTGTTATGAGCTTGCACTAGAGCTTTGCTGAGACCTCTGCTGTGCCTGAGCTTTGGGTCCAAGGTCAGGTTCCAATGTGGAGTTAGAGGACAGAATTGTTTTGGATCATTGGAAGACTCCAATTTCCTCTGTAACCCTTAGCTCTTGGTTATATGGAAAGATGCCTAATTCATAATAAGGGAAATACACATCCAAGTTTTCAGCTATCATGTTGAAAGTGGACAAAATGTTTCATTAAAAAAACTTGCAAAGGAGTTGGGAAATATAATCTCTTGCTTTTTTTTTTTTTTTTTAAGTAGGCTCCACACCCAGTGTGGAGCCCAACGCGGGGCTTAAACTCACAACCCTGAGATGAAGACCTGAGCCGAAATCGAGAGTCGGGACGCTTAACCGACTGAGCCACCCAGGGGCTGCTAATCTCACTTTTTTTTTTTAATTGAAGTATAGTTAACGTATAATATCCTATTAGTTTCAAGTGTATATAATCTCATATCTTGTGTATAGGCAAGGAATGAGTGCAGCTTCTGTAGAGGGCAATTGGCAATCCTTATAAATATAAAAGGAACATATTTACTTTTTGGCCCAGAATATTGAAATATACCTGGGATTTATTTTAATGAGGTATGGTAAGACATACAGACACAGAAATGATTGTTCATGAAGGAAGAACTTTATACTCACAGATTCCTAGAAGCAGGAAGCAGGGGAAGAAGAGGGAAGAGCATGGCCCATTGTCTTTATTGGTATTTTCATGGGAAGGAATGGATGAGGTGGGGTAGGTACACAGAGTAGTGGAGAGTTGGAATGATTTTGGTGGCCTCTGGGCTATAGGAATGGTTCCTAGTTGTCCAGCACCTGGCCCTGGGATAATTTAGGGCAGGGGGAACATTGGCTTGGTGTGTGAGAGGTAGCTGGGGCTGTGGACTCTGGATTGGTTGGTTTATATCAAAGGCATGCTCGCGGGGGAGTTGTCCGTGAACTGTAGGAAATAGCTAACCCTGGGAAGGACAGTCTGTCCAGGATCAAAACCTCAAATGGGAGAGCATCAAAAATACAAAAAATAGGAAAACCTGGCTGGCTCAGTCGGTGGAGCATGCAACTCTTGGTCTCAGGGTTGTGAGTTCGAGCCCCACGATGGGTGCAGAGATTACTTAAAATACCTTTAAAAAATATAGAAAATAAAATATAGTCAATATACCCAGAAATTTCATTTCTAGGAAACTTTATTAAAAAAATATGTTTCTCAGAGGAGCGCCTGCGTGGCTCAGTCGGTTAAGCATCTGCGTTCGGCTCAGGTCGTGATCCCGGGGTCCTGGGATCGAGTCCCGCCTCGGGCTCCCTGCTCTACCTGTTGCTCCCTTTCCCTCTGCCTGTTGCTCTCCCTGCTTGTGCTCGTTCTCTGTCAAATAAATAAATAAGATATATTTTTTAAAGATTTTATTTATTTATTTGACAGAGAGAGACACAGCGAGAGAGGGAACACAAGCAGGGGGAATGGGAGAGGGAGAAGCAGGCTTCCTGCAGAGCAGGGAGCCCGATGTGGGGCTCGATCCCAGGACCCTGGGATCATGACCTGAGCTGAAGGCAGACGCTTAACAACTGAGCCACCCAGGTGCCCAATAAATAAGATATTTTTTAAAAATATGTTTCTCGGGCCACCTGGGTGGTGCAGTCAGATAAGCATCCGACTTTTGGTTTGACTCAGATTGTGATCGCAGGGTCTTGGATCTGAGCCCTGCTTTGGGCTCTGCACTCAGCGGGGAATCTGCTGGAGATTCTCTCTCTCCCTCTGCCCCTCCCCCTCATGCTCTCTCTTTCTTTTTCTAAAATAAATAAATAAATCTTTAAAAAAATATATGTTTCTCATTTCCCTAACCCACCTACTCTCCTGTTCTGCTTGGTGACTTTCACATCTATTTTTCTTGCTCTGCAAAACCCCCAACTCATCCTCAGGGGATGATCTTGTTTCCTCCATCACTGGCAAAATACAAGCAGTCAAAAGAGAGTATCTGCATCCCCCTCCCCACCTACCTGCAACTGCACCTTCCTTCTCTGTCTTCCTTCCTTCCCAGGCCAAGGATGGCCCCAGCCAGGGCACCAGCATCCATCTCCACCAACTGGCGTAGCCATAGTTGGCAATTCTATCCTCATTTCCTGTAGTATCACAATTTAAAGTATCACTCCCATTCTCCTGTGAATGTGCTGCCAGTTCTCCCATCTTAGAAAGCAAAACCCATCTCTTGACCCCTTAGCCCTGCTGGGAGCTGCCCTCATTTCTCTCCCCTCCAACACCAAAGTTCCTCAGAGGAGCTTCTAAAACTCCCTGTGTCCAATTCCTTCCCTCCTGTTCTCTCTCAAACTATTTCAGTCACTAGCACTGCCTTCATCGATGTCTCCAGTGACCTTCCCGCAGCCAAACCCAGCGGCCAGTTTTTAGTACTCACTGTACTGAAACCATCCATAAACCATTTTTCCTCTGTGCCCCAGTATTTCATTGGGAAAACCTGAAAGCATATAGGAGGGCAGAGAAAATCGTAGAGTGAACACCCATATTCCCCATGCCTGCTGTCTACAATTCAGCGTTTTACACCGCTAGCCTTTTCGTAGTCCAGGTTCTTTTCGTCATGTTTGGCTGAGCTTTCATTGATGGGTGAGCCTCAGGCCATTTTTAGTTCCGTTGCTGAACTCTTTCTGCGCCAGGGAAGGGACAGAGAGTGAGGGAAGGCCAAGTGCAGGATGAAGGGTAATCACCTCAATTTGTCAGATTTTACAAGTGGCTGAATAATGTACTTGCTTTGCCAGTTGCTCTTTTGTTCGATTTGTATGAACAATAACTCTCTGGTTATAATTTTTTTAATTTCAGGTAGTAGGAAAGGTGATACACGTAACCGTATAAAGAACAACCAGAATTTTATAGCACACTCAACACCCACGAATACCGACACCTGGAATGCAGGTTCGTAGAATAGCGTTCTCACCTTCTCTGTAACGTCCTTTCGGCAAAGCACTGCACACCCTGAGAACATGGGTGCAACACCTGAGTCATCAAACTAGAGCCACTTTCCTTTTAGCTACAGAGGTGGCAGGTGCTGCTGGACTGAGTCAGGGATCCTGTATTTCTACAGAGTAAAAGAGGGCTTTGACAAAGGACAAAAGGCAGAGGAAGCAAATGGAGTTAGGGATTACTTTACGTGAGAGTTCAAAGTATATTTGTTCACGTAGGCTGTGCGATCTAGCCTCCATAGTTTTAAAAATTAAGGATGCTATTTTTTATGGTACTTCTGATTTTGTCTCCCATCCGCCTTTGAAATAACAATATGATTAACAAATATATTAACTGATAGGCACAAGTGAAATGAAATTTTATGAGAACTTTTCTTTCCATTTTTAGCACTGATTTCGCACAGACCTGCTCTTGTTCAAGTAGTTATAATTGCGTGTGTAGCCTTTAGCATTGCCCTGATATGTGGAATCGCTATTTCCTATGTGATATAGTAAGTATCTGCGAAGTAACATTTACCACTCTTGAGTAAGACATAACTAACTAGGTTATTATTTAGTAATGTTAATGATGATGATGATAATTCTTATAATCACTAAATTATTATGGTCATACTAAATCTCCACACTAGTGTTTTTCAGAGGACTGTACTCATGGTGGGTCACAATATAAATGAAAAAAAAAAAGAAATAGGACAGAATACAATTTAGTAGGATAAAAAATATTAAAAAGCATTACATTTTGTGATGTAAATGCTGATTTTTTTTTAATTTTTAAAATTTTTATTTTATTTATTTATTTATTATGTTATGTTAGTCACCATACAGTACATCATTAGTTTTTGATGTAGTGTTCCATGATTCGTTGTTTTCGTATAACACCCAGTGCTCATTACAACACATGCCCTCCAGGCGCCTGGGTGGCTCAGATGGTTAAGCGTCTGCCTTCAGCTCAGGTCATGATCCCAGGGTCCTGGGATCGAGTCCCGCATCGGGCTCTCTGCTCCTTGGGAGCCTGCTTCTCCCTCTGCCTCTCTCTCCCTCTCTCTGTCTCTCATGAATAAATAAATAAACTCTTAAAAAAAAAAACAAAAACAAAACAACACATGCCCTCCTTAACACCCATCACCAGGCTACCCCACCCCCCACCCCCCTCCCCTCTGAGACCCTCAGGTTGTTTCCCAGAGTCCATAGTCTCTTGTGGTTCGTCTCCCCCTCTGATTTCCCCCCCTTCAGTTTTCCCTTCCTTCCCCTAATGTCCGCCGTCCTACTCCTTATGTTCCACATATGAGTGAAACTATATAATTGTCTTTCTTTGCTTGACTGATTTCACTTAGCATAATCCCCTCCAGTTCCATCCATGTTGATGCACATGGTGAGTATTCATCCTTTCTGATGGATAAGTAATATTCCATTGTATATATGAACCACATCTTCTTTATCCAGTCATCTGTTGAAGGACGTCTCGGCTCGTTCCACAGTTTGGCTATTGTGGACATTGCTGCTATGAACATTGGGGTGCATATGGCCCTTCTTTTCACTACATGTGTGTCTCTGGGGTAAATACCCAGTAGTGCAATTGCTGGGCCATAGGTAGCTCTATTTTCAACTTTTTGAGGAACCTCCATAGTGTAAATGCTGATTTTTAACTTTTCAGAAAACAAATACACAGTTATGAGGTAAAATGTATTTCCTATTGTGGACCATGGTCAAAATGTTTGAAAGCCACTGTCTGAGATGCTGGCATCCTCCCAAAATGTGGTGTTCTAAAGTGAACTTGAGGCATCTGAATAAGCAAAGAAGAAGTCAAACTCTCACTCTGCAGATGACATGATACTGTATCTGGAAAACCCAAAAGACTCCACCCCAAAATTGCTAGAACTCATACAGGAATTCAGTAAAGTGGCAGGATATAAAATCAATGCACAAAAATCAGTTGCATTTCTATACACCAACAATGAGACAGAAGAAAGAGAAATTAAGGAGTCAATCCCATTTACAGTTGCACCCCAAACCATAAGATACCTAGGAATAAACCTAACCAAAGAGGCAAGGGATCTGTACTCAGGAAACTATAGAATACTCATGAAAGAAATTGAGGAAGACATAAAGAAATGGAAAAACGTCCCATGCTTGTGGATTGGAAGAACAAATATTGTTAAAATGTCTATCCTACTTAGAGCAATCTACACATTCAATGCAATCCCTATCAAAATACCATTAACTTTTTTCACAGAACTGGAACAAATAATCCTAAAATTTGTATGGAACCAGAAGAGACCCCGAATAGCCAGAGGAATGTTGAAAAAGAAAACCAAACCTGGGGGCATCACAACGCCAGACTTCAAGCTCTATTACAAAACTGTCATCATCAAGACAGCCTGGTACTGGCACAAAAACAGACACATAGATCATTGGAACAGAATAGAGAACCCAGAAATGGACCCTCAACTCTATGGTCAACTAATATTCGACAAAGCAGGAAAAAATATCCAATGGAAAAAAGACAGTCTCTTCAATAAATGGTGTTGGGAAAACTGGACAGCCACATGCAGAAGAATGAAACTGGACCATTTCCTTACACCACACACAAAAATAGACTCAAAATGGATGAAAGACCTAAATGTGAGACAGGAATCCATCAAAACCCTTGAGGAGAACACAAACGGCAACCTCTTCGACCTTGGCTGCAGCAACTTCTTGCAAGACACGTCTCCAAAGGCATCAGAAACAAAGGCAAAAATGAACTATTGGGACTTCATCAAGATAAAAAGCTCTTACACAGCAAAGGAAACAGTCAACAAAACCAAAAGACAACCGACTGAATCGGAGAAGATATTTGCAAATGACATATCAGATAAAGGGCTAGTATCCAAAATCTATAAGGAACTTATAAAACTGAACACCCAAAGAACAAATAATCCAATCAAGAAATGGGCAGAAGAGGGCGCCTGGGTGGCTCAGTTGGTTAAGCGACTGCCTTCGGCTCAGGTCATGATCCTGGAGTCCCTGGATCGAGTCCCGCATCGGGCTCCCTGCTCGGCAGGGAGTCTGCTTCTCCCTCTGACCCTCCCCCCTCTCATGTGTTCTCTCTCTCATTCTCTCTCTCTCAAATAAATAAAATCTTTAAAAAAAAAAAAAAAAAGAAGTGGGCAGAAGACACGAACAGACATTTCTCCAAAGACATAGAGATGGCCAACAGACATGTGAAAACGTGCTCAACATCACTCAGCATCAGGGAAATACAAATCAAAATCACAATGAGATACCACCTCACACCAGTCAGAATGGCTAAAATTAACAAGTCAGGGAACGACAGGTGTTGGCGGGGATGCGGAGAAAGGGGAACCCTCCTACACTGTTAGTGGGAATGCAAGCTGGTGTGGCCGCTCTGGGAAACAGTATGGAGGTTCCTCAAAAAGTTGAAAATAGAGCTACCCTACAACCCAGCAATTGCACTACTGGATATTTACCCCAGATAAAATGTAGTGATCTGAAGGGGCATGTGCACCCCAGTGTTTGTAACAGCAATGTCCACAATAGCCAAGCTATGGAAAGAGCCCAGATGTCCATCAATAGGTGAATGAATGCAGAAGATGAGGTATATATACACAATGGAATATCATGCAGCCATCAAAAAAAGGAAATCTTGTCATTCACAACGATGTGGATGGAACTAGAGGGTTTTATGCTAAGCGAAATAAGTCAATCAGAGAAAGACAGTTATCATATGATCTCACTGATGTGTGGAATTTAAGAAACAAGGCAGAGGATCATAGGAGAAGAGAGTAAAAAACGAAACAAGATGAAACCAGAGAGGGAGACAAACCATAAGAGACTCTTTAATCTTAGGAAACAAACTGAGGATTGCTGGAGGGGAGGGGGGTGAGGGGATGGGGTAACTGGGTGATGGACACTGGGGAGAGTATGTGTTGTAATGAGCCCTGGGTATTATATAAGACTGATGAATCACAGACCTGTACACCTGAAACAAATAATACATTATATGTTAATTAATTGAACTTAAGGTTTTTTTTTTAAAGATTTTATTTATTTATTTATTTATTTGAGAGAGAGAGAGAGCACATGAGAGGGGGGAGGGTCAGAGGGAGAAGCAGACTCCCTGCCGAGCAGGGATCCCGATGCAGGACTCGATCCCGGGACTCCAGGATCATGACCTGAGCTGAAGGCAGTCGCTTAACCAACTGAGCCACCCAGGCGCCCCTGAATTTAAAGTTTTTTAAAAAGTGAACTTGATACTTTGGCAGGAATCTTAGTGCAAAGCAGAAAATTGTAACTGCTCTCTTTTCACTAGACACTTGTTATTATCTGGGAAAACAGTAGCATTTGGGGAAGATACTTCATCTTGATTGCACAAATAAAGTTTGTGGCCAAGCTCTTTCAAGTGATATGATCATTTTGAATTAGTATTAGACAAAAGTGCAGACTGTGACATCATGCTACTCTGACCAGAATGATATACTGATTCCTTCTCCAGGATTCAGTGCTAGGATTCTGTTGTGTCCCATCAGAAACAGCTTGAGGAAGTAATAAATTATTTGCTCTGTTGGAATTGAGTATGAACACATGGAATATGTTGCCATGTATGGGGTATTTTTTAAGGTAGCTATTTTAGGACCACTTTCACATATGTCCAATGAAGGCAAATAAGATTAAAGGTAAAAATTGAAGACATTTTACCAATGAGAGAGTGTAATCAGCATGTTTAGCTCTGCGATATCTAACATGGTGATCTTGCATCAAAAGGCATCAGAAATAAAGGCAAAAATGAACTATTGGGACTTCATCAAGATAAAAAGCTCTTACACAGCAAAGGAAACCGTCAACAAAACCAAAAGACAACCGACTGAATCGGAGAAGATATTTGCAATTTATATAACTGCAATTTCAGTTTATTTTCATTAGTATAGATAAAGATGTTAATATATATATATATAGAGAGAGAGAGTTTTCTAAGATAAGTCACTAAACATCCTCTGGGACTTGTAGTGCCCAATTAAGTTGCTGAGCTAATGTCAACTCTTACAGCTTTTACATTTGTGTTACTCATAGGGCCACACCAAGCTATTTCAGAGCATGAGGCAAAAGGAAAATTACATGCCCCAAAGTACATGTTTTAATGTAATTTTTAGTGGTTGACTTTTTCCAAAAGTAGATTTTGAAAATACTATTGGTAAGTTTGCTTTCATTTAAACCAGGAAAGTAAAATTACAATAAGCTCTGTTTCTGGTATAGATAAAATATTTAAACTTAAGGTGAGTTTTGATATACTACTTTCAAATTGGTAATACATTATCAACTTCTTTAATGTTCTGGAAAAGAATAACCACTTAAAAATACATAAAAACATGGGGCATCTGGATGGCACATTCGGTTGGGCCTTTGACTCTTGGTTTTGGTTGGGTCATAATCTTGGGGTTGTGGGATCAAGCCCTGCCTGGAGCTCCACACTCAGCACGGAGTCTGCTTGGGGCTCTCCCTCCGTCTCCCTCTGCCCCTCTCCACTTTACCCCCTCTCTGAAATAAATAAATAAATCCTAAAAAAAATTTTTTAGGATTTATTTATCTGAGAGAGAGATAACAAGAGAGAGCACAAGCAGGTGGGGGGTGGGCAGAGGGAGAGGAAGAAGCAGACTCCCCACTGAGCAGGGAGCCTGACAAGGGGTCAATTCCCAGGACCCATGAGATCATGACCTGAGCTGAAGGCAGACACGTAACTAACTGAGCCACCCTGGCACCCCTAAATAAATAAATCTTTAAAAAAATACTTAAAAACATGTATATAGGGACTCATCTTTTTCTTTTGATTCAGGTTCCCATATGGTTCATCATAGCACTGTTGGATCCTATGTTTATTTGGAATTTTGGTTTATCATGGATTTTTCCCCATTCATTTCAATTTGTTAAAATATTGAGCTAAAATATTTATCATCATTACTGGATTTTTTTGGCATGCCCTTAAATTTTGCAACTGTAATCAAGACATTGGAGACCAGGATTTGGGTGGTTACTGTTTTTGTTTTTTGGTTTTTTTTAAGATTCTATTTATTTATTTGACAGAGAGAAAGAGGGAACACAAGCAGGGGGCAGTGGGAGAGGGAGAAGCAGGCTTCCCACTGAGTAGGGAGCCCAATGTGGGGCTTGATCCCAGATCCCATGACCTGAGCCGAAGGCAGACACTTAATGACTGAGCCACCCAGCGCCCTGGGTGATTACTGTTAACAATGTTTAGGATCAGGCCAGTTCTTCCTAGTTACATACATCAAACAATTAGGAAGGTATATATGTTAGGAAAAAGGAAAGCATTCTTTATACCCCTTTTCACATCAGAGATAGGTGCTTAAAAATCCACTCCCAGGGCTGGATCTGGGGTGGGGTGAGCGAGGCACTCACCTCAGGTGCAAAATTTAAGAGGGTGCCAAAAAATTCAGTCATCAATATGAGTAATATTTTATGTAATATTTTATAAAATCTAAATTTACTTCAAAAAATATCCATGATGAACAAAATACCAACATTTTAAATACAGGATCAGTAACATTGTTGGGCCAAGCCATATCAGAGAGTGGAGCAAAAGGAAGAATCAGTAATACCTATATGGACTTTATTTAAAATGTTGATATTCATCATGGATTTCTTGTCATTCATTTTTCTTTTGTAAAATGTTGCATTAAGATATTATTTAGCTTAGGGGCGCCTGGGTGGCTCAGTCGTTAAGCATCTGCCTTCGGCTCAGGTCATGATCCCAGGACCCTGGGATCGAGCCCCACATCGGGCTCTCTGCTCGTCGGGAAGCCTGCTTCTCCCTCTCCCACTCCCCCTGCTTGTGTTCCCTCTCTCGCTGTGTGTCTCTCTGTCAAATAAATAAATAAAATCTTTTTTAAAAAAAGATATTATTTAGCTTAAAAAGAAGATATTATTATATTATCTTGTACCCCACGAGTTCCTTACTCATCTCACCTAGTCCTGGCCCTGAACCCCATTTGGCATTGTTACTCCTCTTCTGCCTGTCAGCACACACTAGAGATCAATCTGTTTCTGCCTCCCTCCCCTGCCTACCACCATGTACTAGTGACTCCTTTCAGTCAAAAGTTACAGGATGAAGATGTAATGACTTCCCGTGAAAATTGTGCTCATAAATTCATCTACATTATTCTCCAGTCGGCTGGTCCAGGCTGAGGAAAGACAGCAACTGGTGTGGCTTTGTAACAATGTCAGGACACCGTTCCTGGGAGATGATGACAATGATGTCGACGACGACAAGGAGGACTCGGAGGATGAGAGCTTGGATGAATCCACCTACCTACTTCCAGAGAATGAGGAGGAGCTCGAAAACTTCATTCACTCAGGTAAATGACTGACCAGTTTATCTTGTCAGATGCGAAGTCACATGAAAGCTGAGCTGGCTGTGATGGTTTGGTTTTCAGAGGCAAAGCTAGGAGGGATTTAATGGAGTTCGAGGTAATAAAAGTGAATATTTACAGCCACATCGATAGAAATGAACTGTTCTCATCAAATTATACAGAAGGGCAAACAGCCACGGGTTGCTTGGTTCCTTTTGTGGGGCAATTCCAACGACCAGAAGCAGAGGTCAGGAGAAAAAACTTTGCCCAAACAAAACTTTCCCCAGACTAAACTCTTCCTTTAAACACACTTACCAGTGTGGCATTATTCCCGAGTCTAGAACACAGATAGACAGATGTCTCTCTTGCACAGTCTGCCTCCATCTGATGTGAACAGGATCCAGCCCACAGAACAGATCCTTGTATGAGAGATGCTCACCATGCCTGCAAATCTTTGTGAAGAGAAGGCAGCATATGTGTTCATATAAACCTGATTTTGTAGAAGTTCTGAGATACCCGCTTAAAAAAATTCTAGAGCAAAAATATGTATAGTGCAGTGTCTGATTCAACCATGTCAGTCTTCCCTTGTATGGATCTCCTCTCTAAAACCCCAGATGCGTCAGAGACAGGCTGGAAGGCCAGGAGTGCAGTGATCAGTGATGTTTACTGACGTTAATGCCCTTGTTTACCCTTAGGAAATATTTTTTCAATGTATTTTCCTTACTTTGAAGCATAGCTTTTCTTCATTCTTCTAAGTTTTTATTTAAATTCCAGTTAGTTAACATACAGTGTAATATTAGTTTCAAATGTACAATGTAGTGATTCAGCACTTCATATGACACCCAGTGCTCATCACAAGTGCACTCCTTAATCCCCGTCACCTGTTTCTCCCCATCCTCCCACCCACCTCCCTTCTGGTAGCCATCAGTTTGTTCTCTATGGTTAAGAGTCTGTTTCTTGGATTGCCACTCTCTTTTTTACCCCTTTGCTCATTTGTTTCTTAAATTACACATATGAGTGAAATCATATGGTATTTGTCTTTCTCTGACTGACTTAATTCACTGAGCATAATATTCTCTAGCTCCATCCATGTCATTGCAAATGGCAAGATTTCATTCTTTTTTATGGCTGAGTAATATTCCATTATGTATATATACCACATCTTCTTTATCCATTCATCAGCCGACATTCTTTTTTTTTTTTAACTGAGCATTTATAAAGCTTGTATATAAGATGTGGGAAAATAGCTTTATTTTGGGGGGGAGTAAATAACTTTAAAATTCAATTTTCACCATCCTTTTCAGAGAAATAACATCCATTATATCTTGAAAATTCTACTGTTTACACCTTTATTTTTCCATACCTTTTCTGTCACCTCTTTTATCTCTATTCCTCATTTATTAGTATTTCAGTAACATTATGTCTATGTTTTAGTTATTAGATCCAAAAGAAGAAAGCATATGGTAAACAAGAGATTGAAGAAAGAACAAGATTTATTAATGGAAACAAAAATAGGGAATTCTATGCACAGTATATTCTCAGAGGGTCTATGAGAGCAAACGAAAGAGATGCAGGACGTGCCAGCCCGTGGGGAGCCAACAGTTGCAAGGACAGCTCACGACTGGGGACCTGAGCATGACTTACTCCTGGAGAGCTCTGTTCAGAGCACGCTAAAGAAGAAAACTAGAAGTATATAACAGAAAATAAATTCATATGTGCAATGATTCTTGATTCTTAGCTCTCATAGTCCATTAATAATTATAACTTAATTGGAAAAGAGAAAAATCCAACTTCATGAATATGAAAGACAGACTGTCAGGATTTTTTTCTATTTTTAAAAATTTTTTATTTATTTATGTTTTTTTAGGATTTTCTTTCCTTGGTCCTAACCAAAAGCACAAATAATTTCTTTGGGCAGTATCTCAGACCAAGCTAAGGAATTGCTTTCATGATACAAAACTTTTCCAGGGATATTATCTATCAATTCCAGTACCTTGCCTCTATTTTCCTCGCAAGGAAGCTGAGAATATCAAAATAGATATGACACTGGATTAAGATGCAAACATCCCTGTTTTTAAGGAGCTGGGACCTGGTGAGGAAAAAGGGTCTGCAGGCAAGGAGCTGTAAAGCATGGCCAGTTATGGTGGGTGCTATAAGCCGGGAGCTGCTGAGAGCTGTGGAAATACAGGAGTCAAGACTGAATCCAAATGGGTCAGTGCTTTGGAAAACGGTCTGATGGTTCCTCAGAAAGTTAAACAGACAGTCACTACATGATCTAGCAATTCCACTGTTCGGGTTAGGTCTGAGGAAACTGAAAACACACATACACAGAAAAACCTGGACACAAATGTCCAAGCAGCATTACTCATAAGAGCAAAAAGGTGGAAACAACCCAGTTGTCCATGAATTGACAAAAAGATAAAGTGGGGGTCTATCTATACAGTGGAATATTCTTCAGCCATAAGAAAGACAGAAATAGGGGCGCCTGGGTGGCTCAGTTGGTTAAGCAACTGCCTTCGGCTCAGGTCATGATCCTGGAGTCCCTGGATCGAGTCCTGCATCGGGCTCCCTGCTCGGCAGGGAGTCTGCTTCTCCTTCTGACCCTCATGATCTCTTTCTCTATCTCATTCTCTCTCTCAAATAAATAAAAACTAAAAAATCTTAAAAAAAAAAAAAAGAAATACCGATACATCTACAACATAGAAAAACCTTGACAACGTTATGCTAAATGAAATAAGTCAGACACAAAGGTCACACATTTTCTGATTTCATTTATCCAAAATGCTCAAAATAATCAAATCCATAGAGGCAGAAAGTAGATAAGTGGTTCCAGGAACTGGGTGGGGAGAGAAAAGGGAAGGACTGCTAATGGGAGTGGGGTTTCTTTTTGGAGTAAGAAAATGTTTGAAAACTAGATAGTTGTGATGGTTATACAACCTGGTGAATATACTAAAAAAAGAAAAAAACACCACGGGATTGTACTCTTTAAAAGAGCAAATGTTGTGGTATGTGAAAGAGATCTCAAACAAACTGTTAAAAAAAAGATTTTGTCTAATTTGAGGGTGAACTGAAGCCAGACCTAGGCTTCCTGACTCTTCCTTTCAGTTTCCATCCTTCCTAAAATAAAAAAATTAAAACAACAACAAAAATTATAATAGACAACGTGACAAAGGAATAGTGGGGTATATTTGAGAAATTGGGACAGTCCAGAGAATCTTTCGGCCAACAGTTTGCACCTGCCTTGGTGGTGCAGCCAGGAAGGAGTTACGTGTGGGGTGGGTAAATAACTTTAAAATTCAATTTTCACCATTGGGGAAATGGTGCGCAGGGGACAGCAGGGCAGAGCTGGCCAGTGTCCTGCACCGATTCACAGCCCCCAGACCTTGGATGGGCCTTCAGTGTCCTTCAGTGCAACCTCATATCCTTGGGCAGGACACACACCCAGCCCCTATGAGATGAAATCCTAAGTTAGGAAGCAAGACTGCTATCTTAGTCGGCTCAGGCTGCCCTAAAAAAAATGCTGTTGATGAGGTGGTTTAAACAACAAATATTTATTTCTCAGTGTCCTAGAGGCTAGAAGTCCAAGATCAAGGTGCTAGCATGGTTGAGTTCTCGGGCAAGCCCTATTCCTGGTTTCCTCATATGGTGGAGGAGAGAGGGAGAGAAGCAGCAAGCTCTCTCCTCTGTTTCTGATTATAAGGGCACTGATCCCATTCATGAGGGTTCCACCCTCATGGCCTGATTACCTCCCCAAGGCCTCACCTCCAAATGCCATCACCTTGGGGATTAGGGCTTCAACTTGGGGAATGAGGGAGTCACAAACAGTCTATAGCAATTGCTTTTTTTTTTTTTTTTAAGACCTTATTTATTTCAGAGAGAGAGAATGCGTATGCAGGCATGAGCAGGGAAGGGCTAGAGGAAGAAGTAGACTTCCCACCAAGCAGGGAGCCCAATGCGGGGCTTGATCCTGGGACCCTGAGATCATGAGCTGAGCTGAAGGCAGACACTTAAACGCCACCCAGGCACCCCCCGCCCCAGCCCAGCTACTGAAAACTTTACTGGGAGCTAGCTGGTCCTAGAGGAAGCAGGGTGAAAATCCATTCCATCATTGATAACTCTGAGAGCAATTATATCCCAGCGTTCCAAATTAGGTGAGGGCCCAGAAAGTGGGGAAGCCAGGGTTCAGTGTACCTCTGTGCCTCTGGAATCCATCAAGGTTTGTGGCTAGGCTCTCTGGTCATTGGCCCCCAGCCTGGTACATATTCCAGTGTTGGTTTTGCGGGCAGCTCACTACATACCATATATAGACACCAGCATGGAGAGGCTGGACTGCTTTTTATCACCTTGAATAAACCAAGGAAGGGAAGAACATGAGTCTTCATGGGCAGATGTCTCTTAGCAGAAACCACTGTGGTAGGTGGAACTCGGATGGCCCCCAAGATTCTTGCCCCTGGTGTACATAGTTGTATCATTTCTTCCCCTTGAGTGTGGCTCTGTGAATATGGAAATGTCACGTATGGCCCTCCCATGATTAGGTTGAGGAGATAGAATAGCTGCTCTTTTAATTGTTACATTATATAAGACTCTGACTTAGCCAACTGGAGAGCCACCTCACTGAGTCTTTAGGGACTGGCTCCATGCAGGGAAAGACTTCCACTAATCAACCTAGCATGAAAGCTTGAGGCCTTCTCATATCTTTTCTGGGCATCATGCATCTCCCCTGGTGTGTGTCTGTGTGTGTGTGTTCCCCAATTCTGCAGTACACATGTCTTAGTTTTCCTATGGTCTCACACCTGCTTCTTCTGGTGTATTCCTCTGCCTAAACTGTCCCCAGCCACCTACCAGACTGCTGTCTTCCTGCAGCTATCCCAAGGTTTGCGATCTGCGAGTGTCCTTACTGCCTCCAACCTGATTTCCAGACTATTGCCACCATTCCCATCATCACCGAGGCAGGCGATGCAGAAACCGGGCCCTGGGTCAGCTTTCAGACAAGCCAGAACACTGCAATCAAGCCCCACTGTTTTCCTTCCTTCCTGGGTCTCTATAGACCTCTAACTGATGCGTAAGTACGTGTAAAGCTATTTTGATCAGCATGTTTTGTTTATTCAGTGTTTTTAAGGATAGTAAGGGCCTGTAGATTCCGAGTCTGCCATTTATTGATGTCACTCTGGTTTAAGGTTAAACTTTCAAAATTATTTTTCTTATTGGCATGGTTGGCCTTTTGGAATTCTTGTCATCTATACAAAGGTTTTTCACTTTTGAGTGAGATGATTTCTATCTCACTAATTTGTAGGACTTATTTATTAAATGAATTAATTATTTATATAGCTGCTTTTTAACAATTATGAGTGATTCACATATCTTCTCAACTGTGTGGCTCATCATTTCTGTTTTTGTGGTGTTTTGTAATCATAGACACTTTTAATGTAATTGGTTATATATATTTTTTGTAGTTGGTTATATTTAAATATATACTTATTGTCATATTTTTGTGTCTGTTTTGAGAAATTCTCTATGTACATTCTTTTTTTTTTCTTTTAAAGATTTTATTTCTTTATTTGACAGAGAGACAGCGAGATCAGGAACACAAGCAGGGGGAGTGGGAGAGGGAGAAGCAGGCTTCCCGCCGAGCAGGGAGCCCGATGCGGGGCTCGATCACAGGACCCTGGGATCATGACCTGAGCCGAAGGCAGATGGCCAACGACTGAGCCACCCAGGCGCCCCTGCCATATGATTTTTTAAAAGATTTTATATGCTTACCTATTTTAGGGGGAGAGAGAGAGAGCGAGAGAGAGCGACATGGGAGGGGCAGAGGGAGAAGGAGAGAGAGAATCTCAAGCCAACTCTGAGCTGAGCGTAGAAGCAGAGTCCAACAGGGAGGCCCAATCCCATGACCCGGAGATCACAACCCCAGCCAAAACCAAGAGTCAGACACTCAACAGACTGAGCCACCCAGGTGCCCCCCATATGATTTTTAAAGATATTTTCTTGAGGGCCGCCTGCCTGGCTTGGTCGGCAGAGCATGTGACTCTTTTTTTTTTTTTAAGATTTTATTTATTTTTTGACAGAGACACAGCGAGAGAGGGAACACAAGCAGGGGGAGTGGGGGAGGAAGAAGCAGGCTTCCCGGGGACCAGGGAACCCGATGCGGGGCTTGATCCCAGGACCCTGGGATCATGACCTGAGCCGAAGGCAGACGCTTAACAACTGAGACACCCAGGCACCCCAGCATGTGACTCTTGATCTCAGGGTTGTAAGTTTGAGCCCCATGTTGTGTGTAGAGATTACTTTAAAAAAAATTAGGGGCGCCTGGGTGGCTCACTCAGTTAAGCATCTGCCTTTCAGCTCAGGTCATGATCCCAGGGTCCTGGGATCCTGCCTCATGTTGCGCTCCCTGCCCAGTGGGCAGTCTGCTTTTCCTTCTCCCTTTGCCCCTACCCCTGCTCATGCTCTCTCTCACACACGTGCTTTCTCTCAAATAAAATCTTTAAAAAATAAAATAAAATTGTTAGTACTCGCTTCGACAGCACATATACTAAAATTGGTGTGATACGGGTTAGATTAAGATGGCCCCTGCACAAGGATGACACACAAATTCATGAAGTATTCCATATTTTTTTGTAATTTCTAGAATTATATAGATGAATTATCTGTTTGGTTTTGTGTAGGCACCACTTTTGTTTTACCTTTGTCTTAGCTGCATGAAATAAAATTCTTAAAGGTTTGAAAAAAATAAAATCTTTAAGAAAATATTTCTCAAATTCCTAAACATGGTTGGATTATTATAATTATGACGATTTTTTTCTATCCCCTCACTAAAATCAAGCTGTTTAGTACAATTCATAGTCATTTTGTGTTGCAACAGAATTGTCACCAAATGACTAATTGATATGTCCAGGATGGATTCTTTAGTCAGTGTTTGAAATTTACTTTTTTTTTTTAAAGATTTTATTTATTTAACAGAGACAGCCTGAGCAGGAGGAGCTGCAGGCAGAGGGAGAGGAAGATGGGGATGGGGAGGGAAAGGGAGAAGCAGGCTTCCAGCTGAGCAAGGAACTCCATGCTTCCTCATCAGCCTTTTCTTTCTTTTTAAAAAGATTTTATTTCTTTATTTGTCAGAGAGAGAGAGAGCACAAGCACAAGCAGGGGGAGTGGCAGGCAGAGGGAGAAGCAAGCTCCCCACTGTGCAAGAAGCCCAACTTGGGACTCCATCCCAGGACCCTGGGATCATGACCTGAGCTGAAGGGCGACACTTAAGTGACTGAGCCGCCCAGCTGCCCTGAAATTTACTTTTTCTGTTTTAGATAACAATGAAATTGATATTTTGTGACTTTTATTTTCCTTGTTTATTGCAAAATTCTACTGGCTTGATTTTTATTTTTACTTGAGTATTCCCTCTGAGATTTTCATCTAGATAGGCTTTATTTAGGAAACAAAATTAAGAAATTTACCAATATATTTAATTTATTTTAGTCCTCTTTCCTTTACTTGGCTATAATCTAGCATCAACTTTATGTTGAGAAATGAGTTATTTTAGTTTTTTTTATTTTGTTATTGACATGATATTCTGACTCTGGTGTATTTATTTGACTTGATTAAACCCCCACAAACCCATCACCTTGCCTTCAAAAAATCCTGATAGTTTTGTTTGTTTAGGCGCCTTCCATACTTGCCAGAACCATTGCCCTTTTTCCTGCTTTTTTTCTTACCACTTTCTGCTGATCATACAGCATATTGCAATCATGACATTGCTTATGATAAAAGTGCTAAGTATTCAATTGAAATAAATTTATTTTGTTAAAGTTTACACCTTAGTGCTTTTGATATTAGTTTTAATGGAAAGGTTTTTTGTTTTAATTAGTGCTTAAAAGTAATGCAATACAGGGGCATCTGCATGGCTCAGTCTGTTGGGTGTCTGCCTTTGGCTTGGGTCATGATCCCGGGTTTGTGGGATTGATCCCCACATCAGGCTCCCTGCTGCTCCCCCTGCGTGTTCTCTCTCTCTATCTGTCTCTCTGTCAAATAAATAACAAATTAGTTTAAAAAGTAATGCAACAGGGCGCCTGGGTGGCTCAGTCGGTTGGGCGACTGCCTTCGGCTCAGGTCATGATCCTGGAGTCCCGGGATCGAGTCCCGTATCGGGCTCCCTGCTCAGCAGGGAGTCTGCTTCTCCCTCTGACCCCCCCCCATGTGCTCTCTCTCTCTCTCAAATAAATAAATAAAATCTTAAAAAAAAAAAAAGTAATGCAACACAGTATTTAGTAGGCAGCTTTTGTAAATTATCCTCCAGAAAATGAAATTCATTTTCAGAACTTATTGTCAGCCATTGGCACTTTGAAGAATTGAATTTATTTATTTGAAGGGGGGGAGGAGTAGAGGGAGAAGGACAAGGCAACTTAGAGCTGAGCACAGAGTCCCCCCGCAGGACTCTATCCAAGGGCCCTGAGATCATGACCTGAGCCAAAATTAAGAGTCAGATGCTTAACTGACTGAGCCACCCAGGTGCCCCTGAATAGCATTTTAAAACAATATATTAGGTGACATGGATGCTATGAATAACATGTCTAAAATTTCTTACCTTTAATAAACTCAATGACAATGCTATTCCTACATGAAAGAGTTGTTTCTTCTCAGGGAGAGTCTTATGCTTAATGCTTAATCTTAACTAGGATTTGCTGGTCTTAATTTTAAGTCTTTCAATTAGATGTGTTAATGTTCTTCACAGGTTCAAAGTTTTCGTGAAGAAATTGTCTCCATTGAATGGTACTCTATTACTCAGGAACATGGAATCTTTTAATGGAAAAACAGAATGATCAGCTCTAAAAACTTTCCAATGCAAGAATCCCCAAATTACCCATTGTGCACCAACAACATCACTACTGGAATTTCTCCAAGATCTTCACTTCTTTCACCATCCAAGGTACTTCTCCAGAGACATTTCTGCCACCATCTCTGTATCACTACATAGTCATAATTAATAACCATCTTTAAAACTTTTTTAATGAGGTGTAATTGAGGACGCCTGCGTGGCTCAGTTGGGTAAGCGTCTGCCTTCGGCGCAGGTCATGATCCCAGGGTCCTGGGATTGAGTCCCGCATCGGGCTCCTTGCTCAGTGGGGAGCCTGCTTCTCCCTCTGCCTGCCGTTCCCTCTGCTTGTATTCTCTTTCTCTGTCTCTCTGACAAATAAATAAAATCTTTTTAAAAATTGAGGTATAAATGACATATAACATTATATTAGTTTCAGGTGTATAGCATGATTCCATATTTGTATACATTGTGAAATGACTACAGTAACTCTAGTTAATATCCATCACCTTACACAGTTACAAAAATTAATAGCTTTCTATAATTTGCATTTTACAACTGTTTTTCTGAGATATCAGTTCTTCATGCAGAGTACTCCCTGTAATCACAGGAAATGATAACCACTTTTCAGTAATGAGATGAGATCATGGATTTAAGCTACTCCTACATTTTGGGATTCAGAGCACCCTTTGCATGCATGCTCCACCTGTGAACACTGCAGACATTGTCCTGTATCAAAATAGTATTTCTTTCATTTTTCTATTTTTGAGATCAATGTCAGTTCTTAAAGGAAGGGAATATAAGGACAATGAATAAGAGATGTGAATGGGGGGCGCCTGGGTGGCTGAGTCGTTAAGCGTCTGCCTTGGCTCAGGTCATGATCCCGGGGTCCTGGGATCGAGCCCCACATCGGGCTCCCTGCTCTGCGGGAAGCCTGCTTCTCCCTCTCCCACTCCCCCCTGCTTGTGTTCTCGCTCTCTGTCAAATAAATAAATAAAATCTAAAAAAAAAGAGATGTGAATGGATAAAAGGTCACCCAATTGCACATCACAGGTTATACAGATCCATATTTGTACTCTTGCTTCAGGGTAGCACATCCTCCTCCATCTTTCTTGTCACGCCCCTATCTGGAGTATTTTTCTTGTCTCTGAACATACACAGTTCAGTTCCTAAAACTGGCCCTAATTCTTCAGAGCGCATGCATTTGAGTTACTATACGGTAATTTTTATTCGTTTCCTCTACCAGTGGACACATTTTGTGACTAACTGGAAAATTTTGTGCACTTGGATCTGTAGCCTTTGGGAGCATCCGAAAGAATATGTTTAGCTTCTGAGAGCATGTTGAGCTTCATGGACTCTAAAATAACATATCTCCACATATGTGCTCAGTTGCAGCCAGACTCTCCAGAAATCTAAGTACGGCCTCTTTAAGAAGGAGCTAAGCCCCTCCTCCGTCCTGGCACCTAGAGTCGCCATTTCCCAGAGTTCCTCGCGGCGCAGTTCGGCCTTTTGGATTGGAGGTGAGGTGTGAGCGCTCTTACGCGCGCCTGTGGCTCTGTGAGAACTACATTGTCCGGAAAGCTGTGCGATGAGGGGCGGGACGCAGGAAAAAAAATCGGCGTTTCCGGCTGAGACATAAAACGTCCGGGCGGGACTTCCGGCATCTTTCTAGTAGTCCGTCGTTTTGGCTTCCTTGAAGTCCTGTCAGTCTGGTCTGGGATTCGGAGCGCTGGCTGGGGGCCGAGGTGACGGGACGGAGAGGGCGCGAGGGGAGGCGCTGTCCCCGCCGCACGGATTCGGGCTTTGGCTGGCGACGCCGCCCGGGCTGCCCCGCGGCGGGGCCGGGGCCTTGATCGCCGGCCCGGGCGCCCGCTCCGCCACAGGCTCCGATGGCGGCGGCCGCGCGCAGGGAGCCGGCTCCGGTAAGCGCTCGTCCCCCCACCCAGACCCCCGCGGCCCAGGCCCCGGCGTCCGGGACAGGCGGGCGGCGGCGGGCGGGGGCCCCGTGCGGGAGCGGGCTCCGGGCCGAGGGCGGCCGGGGCCGAGGCTGGAGCGGGGCTGAGGCGGGAGGATTCTGCCCTCGGGGGACAGAGAGCGTGAGGCGGAGTGACGCCCGGACTGCGGGCCGAGGTGAGGTGCGGTACCTTCAGGTCTAGAGGCCTCCAGAGGCCAAGGAGCGTTTTCCCAAAGGAGGGACACGATCTCCATTAGGGTTTCAAGACTCCCCCAGGGAGTTCAAAGGAAGAGCAGATTGGAGGAGGGAGAGGAGCGCTCTGAGGTCCCTGCTGGTAAGAGGCCCCACTGAGCGCTGAGGCCCAGGGGTGAGACAGCTAGCCTTGGGTCACCTGGCGCCAGGGCTAGGAAGGGGAACTCAGTAAGTTCTGCTATTTGTATAAACTCCTGAAACCTTTATTACGATGTTAATGAACCTATTCATCACCCCCATATTTACTTCATGCCCTTTTATAATCTCTTTTCTTCTGCTCTCCAGTTACCTATTGATTTAGCTTCCTTTACGGTAGTTTTTCCCTAAAATTTTATGATTGAAATCATAGTGTTTACTCTTTTTCCTGTGAGTACCCTCATGCAGCGTATTCATTTTGAGATTCATTAATGTTGTTTCTATGAGTAGTTCGTGCTTTTTTTTTTTTTTTTTAAGATTTTATTTATTTATTCGACAGAGAGAGAGACAGCGAGAGAGGGAACACGAGCAGGGGGAGTGGGAGAGGGAGAAGCAGGCTCCCGGCCGAGCAGGGAGCCCGATGCAGGGCTCGATCCCAGGACCCTGGGATCATGACCTGAGCCGAAGGCA